GCGACCCCCGGCCCGACGTCGTCCCCCCATCACCCCAAGCCGGGCCCTCCCGGCAGCCCTCTGTCCACTGGCCAGCGTGGCGTCTAGAGGGACGTTTCTGTGAAGTGAGGAGTTAAGAGTCACCCCCGCGTGGTCCAGCAGCCTGGGTGACAGTAACTGTTCGGTCCAGCTTAGCCCCGGAATCGCGTAGCCTCCTTGAAAGAATAGCCCCAGGAAACTGGTTGATGCGATCCTGCTAACTAAGCTAGGCTTCGCTGGGCTTTCACCAGCTCCTGCTTAGCGGCTTTTTCCTGCCCCGTATCCCAGGCGGCGCTCACTCCCTGGTGACAGTTCCCAGGCTTCCTGAGCTCGGCATCTGCAGGAGGACTGGTCTCTCACCCTGTGTCCCTCATTTGGACTGTCTGATGTCTTCTCTTGATTAGGTTAAGTTTGTGTGGTTTTGGCAGGAAGTTCACAGAAGTAACGCTGGGGGTCCATCACCGTGGGGTTTGGGGCGTCCCGACGTCTCTGCCTGGATTTTTGAAGAGTGTGGTAATTTTTTGAAACTGATTTTCACCCTTAGCGGGAAGGGTCAAGAGGCAGAAGCTGGGTCCTGAAGGGCAGCAGAAGGTGAAGGAGTCTGCTGTGCGCCTCCTGTGGAGCCATCTGGACCTGAGTGACCTTTTGCTTGAGGTGAGAGGAAATGGGTTTGGCCTTTGCGAGCAGATGTAGGTTTGGGGTTTTTGAACCCAGCCAAGGCATAATCTTTGTGGAGACTCCTGGAAAACCTCATGCCATTTACCCAGTATTTGGGAGAAGCACCCATTAAATACCATCTAGGAGACAAAAAATATTGGGATCATTTACCTTTTTGGAAATAAAAAGTCCAGAGATGAATCTGGTAAATCTCAAAGGTGTCAGTAGGTTTCACCTGTTAAAACATTTTATCTCCCTCAGAATATTCGGGAATAGCTCAGGAGGCAGGCACTGCACACCTGGTTATTTCCATGACACAGCTTGAATTTTAAAATGGAGTTCTTTGTGTTTGGTTCCCAGGTGGACGGCCCGCCACGTAAAACACTGTGTCTCAGCCAGTGGGTCAGTTGCAGTGGCCCTGAGGGCTGCGCTGATCCGTCCAGCTCACTCGTGGGTGAGTTAGAGCTTCCTCTTCTCGGTAGACTGACTTAGGGCAGAGCTTTACATAAAGGGGCCTTGATTTGCTTATAATAAGCAGCTGTTTAAATTCCTCCAGATAATGGTTTTTTGCTTATATGTGTGGTCACAAATTATAAGTCAATATTTTTGTGACTTGGTTGGGGCTTGTTATGATGCTGTTATTTAAAAACAGTGACTCAGAAAGAGGCTCAAAAATGGTACGAACCGAAGCATCCCTTGTACAAACGGGACAGTAGCATGCTGCTCCTTCCTGGAAGTGGTGAGAACAGATCTGCTGGGTGGGGAAGAGCAGCAGGTGGCCAGGAATACAGGCCAACCTGGGAGACACCACTGGCCTGGGGCCAGACCCTGCTGTGAGAATACTGCAGTGAAGCGAGTCCCACAAATCCTGGTTTCCTGGTGCGTGTAAAAGTTATATTTACACAGTGCTTAGTTTCCTAAGTGTGCAACAGCATTGTGTCAAAAAAACAATGCACGTACCTTAACTTAAAGATGTTTTATTGCTAAAAAGAGCTGACCATCATCTAAGCCTTCAGAGAGTTGTGCTCTTTTTGCTGGTGGAGGGTCTGGCCTCTGTGTTGATGGCGGCTGACTGATCAGAGTGGTGGTTGCTGAAGGTTGGGGGGCTCTGAGCATTTCTTAAGACAACAGTTAAGTGTGTGGCATCAGTTGACCCTTCCTCCCACAGACGATTCCTCTGTAAGGTGTAAGGCTGTGTGACAGCATTTTACCCACAGTAGAACTTCTGTCAAAGTTGGAGTCAGTTTTCTCAAATCCTGCTGCTCCTCTATCAACTAAGTTTATGTCATTCTGAATCCTTTATTGTCATTTTGACAGTCTTCACAGGGAGTAGATTTTATCTCAAGAAATTGCTTTCTTTGCTCATTTGTAAGAAGTAACTCATCCATTAAAGTTTTATCCTGAGAGTGCAGCAATTCAGTCACATCTTCAGGCTCCACTTCTATTTCTGGTTTTCTTGCTGTTTCTACCACATTACCTGTTACCCCCTCCACTGAAGTCTTCAACCTCTCAAAGTCTTCTATGAGGATTGGAGTCAGCTTCTTTCAAATTCCTGTTAATGCTGATATTTTGATTTTGATACATTTTTCCCGTGAATCACGAATGTTCTTAATGGCGTCTGGAATGGTGAATCCTTTCCAGAGGGTTTTCAGCTGACTTTGCTCAGATGTGTCAGAGGAATCACAGTCTCTGGCAACTGTAGCCTTACGAAATGTGTTTCTTAAATACTAAGACTTGAAAGTGGAAGTGACTCCTTGAGCCATGGGCTGCAGGATGGACACTGTGTCAGCAGGCCTGTCCATCTCCGTCAGAGCTCCTGGGGGCCAGGTGCACTGTCAGCGAGCAGGAGGGAGGTCTCAACAATGAGCTTAAAATATTCAGTAAACAGTGCTGTAAACAGATGTGCTGTCATCCGGGCTATGTGGTTCCATGTGTAGAACACAGGCAGAGTAGATTCAGCACCATTCTTAAGAGCTGTAGGATTTTTGGGTGGTACACTGAGCATTGGCTTCCACTTCACGTCACCAGCTGCATTAGCCCTGAACACAAAGGTTAGCCTGACCTTTGAAGCCAGGCACTGTCTTCTCCTCTCTCACCATGGAGGTCCTAGATGGCATCTTCTTCCAAAAGAAGGCTGTTTCATTTACGTTGAAAATCTGCTGCTCACTGTAGCCACTCTCGTTAATTATCTCAGCTGGATCTTCTGGAGAACTCGCAGCAGCTTTTACACCAGCACTTGCTGCTTCACCTGCACTTTGATGTCATGGAGACGGCTTCTTCCTGAACCCTCATGAGCCAACCTCTGCTGGCTTCACACCTTTCTTCCACAGCTTCCTCCCCTCTCTCAGCCTCCACAGAACTGAAGAGAGCTGGGGCCTTGTTCTGGATGAGGCTTTGGCTGGAGGGAATGTTGTGGCTGGTCTGATCTTCCATCCAGACCACTTTTCCAGCTTTCTCCATCTCAGCAGTAAGGCTGTTTGACCTTCTTATCATTCGTGTGTTCGCTGGAGCAGCACTTTAATTTCCTCCGAGAACTTTGCCTTTACAGTCGTACCTTGGCTGACTGGTGTGAGAGGCCCAGCTTTCCAGTGACAAGCCTTCCTCACTAAGCTGCTTCATTTCCAGCTTTTGATTCACAGTGAGACACGTGCTGCTCTTCCTTTCACTTGAACACTCAGAGGCCACTTTGGGGTTATTAATTAGCCTAATTTCAATATTGTTGTGTCTCAGGGAACAGGGAGGCCTGAGGAGGAGGTGAGAGACAGGGAACGGCCAGTCCGGAGAGCAGTCGGGACACACGTGGCACTCACCAGTTAGGCTCATTGTCTTATCTGGGCACAGTGTGGTGCCCCAAACAGCTACAACAGTGTCATCAAAGACTGCTCATCACAGATCACCATAGCAAACATAATGATAATGGAAAATTTTGAAGTTTGGTAATTGTGGGAATTACCAAAATGTGACCCAGAAATATGAAGTGAGCAAATGCTGTTGGAAATATGGCACCGAAAGATTTGCTGGATGCAGGGTTACCAAAAACCTTCAGTTTGTAAACATGAGGTATCCACAAAGTGCAGTTGGCCGGGTCTGCTTGTGTGTGTAGGAGGGAGGTCTGTGGGATGGCGGACACAGTTCCCTTCTGGTCACTCTCCCTTGATTGTGCAGTGACTGTCATTTCAGAAAGAGAGACCATTGCCCCTCATATCCCTGGGCCCCACACCTGTGGATTCGACCAACCACGGATTGAAAATACTTGGGGGGGAAATTACAAAGTTCCAAAAAGCAAAACTTGAATGTGCCATGTGCCAGCAGCTGTTTACGCGGTGTTCACCTCGTCTTAGGCGTTGTGAGTGGTCTAGAGGTGGCTTGAGTGCACAGGAGGCTGTGTGTAGGCTCTGCACGCGCTGCGCCGTCCTGTGTGAGGGGCTTCAGCTCCTGCGGATCTCGGTTCTGGGAGCCCTGGAACCGACCCCCTGTGGACACTGAGGGGTGACTACTAACGAATTCCTTCGTCTGTGTTAAATATCTGTTACAATGACCTTAGACCGCAGGCTTGCCTTGGCAGCTGATCCCTGTGGCCCCAGAGGGTCCCGGTTCTCTCGGCCCTAAGTGTGCTTGGGTTTCACAGGCTGTGCAGACACACATCTGACCACAGACACAGACCCTCAGTTCATGAAGTTTTCAGCTGTTTGTCCTGCTGAAGATAGTGGCTACCGTGTGTATTCATATTTATGTAAAAAAGATAAAAGCCTTGTAAATAAAAACAGAAATAAACTTGCCCATGGAGACAGACTGGAAATAAATGGCTGGAAATGAGCATTTGCTGTTTTCTACACGAGTTGTATCTTGACCACGGTGGTGGGTGATAACACCGTGATTCCGAACTTTCACGGCTGCCACGCGTGTTTCCACTTACACAGCGGCGGTGTCTTCAGAGCCTCGAAGACAGTAGGCAAGTGCTTCAGTTAACTTTTTTAAAAATTATTTTTGGAAGCCAAGTAAATTAAAAGATAACTTGCTTATAGGTATTATGTCTGTCCAGGCTGCCCAGCGTTTCTACCGAGTGCAGACCGAGGCTGGTCCTCAGGAGGCAGGTGGCTGCCTGTGGGCCCAGCACCCACCTTCCACCCAGTGTGTGGCCAGCTTTGGGGAGCCAGACCCAGTGTCCCCTGAACCATCAGTGCACAGTTGTAGGGGCACCTCTGTCTCTGACCTGAGTAGTAACTATGAAAGCAAGGATTTGTCAAAAGTTCTCAGTTTGTTGTGCTCCTTTGGAAAAAGTTGATAAAGTTCTTAGAATATATCCAGCAAGCTCCCTCGTTTGTGTCTCACAGACACAAATGTTACGTGCAGCCGTGGGCTTCAGATGCTGCCCCGTTGCCGTGAGCTCCTGAAATTGTCTGCCTTTTGTCCCTCATGTCGCCCCAGATGCTTCTCCCCTGCAGAAGGCAGCTTTCTGTGTGCTACAACTTAAGAGAAGGCATTTAACCAGTCCTCTTCTGTTGTGGGCTTTGTAGCGTGCCTGTGTTTTGTTCTGTCGTTAAGGCTGTGCTCTGCGGGACCAGGCCTCGCGGCTGGGCGTTCCAGTGGCGGTCCTGTCCAGCCAGGTGGTGGCCTCTGGCCTCGTGCGGATATGTGAGGCGGACGCCAGGCCCTCCCCTGAGGTGCTGCTGACTCCGGAGCAGAGGGTAAGCCACAGCTTGAGCGGCGGGGCCGTGCTCACTCCCGTTGGGCCAGCTGGGAGAACAGGGCGTTTCTTTAACATCGTGTCTTTAAAAAGTTTGACTCTCTCTTTTCAGAAGAAACTGTCTTCCTTGTTAGAGATCACTCAGAACTTACTAGCACACAGCATGTTCTCCCGTGTCTTCTTCTGCCGAGAATTATGGAAAATACAGGTAAGGCTGAGATCACAGCCCTGACTTGAGGGTTTGCTAGCAGTGTTCTGTTGGTTTGGTGGAGCCAACAGAATCTGCAGGTCTTGTTAGGAATTCCACTAAGCATCTCATTAATTACAGAAAGCAGGGGGAAAAGCTTTCAGCAGATGCGTCTGTGAATGGGGAAGAAGGACCCTCAAGCACCCTGTTGGGCAGTTCTCACCCGTCATGGGTAGTGTTGGTTAGAACAGACCAGTGCACAGAAAGGTGAAGCCCTGCCTTCTCAGGCACGCTGTGACGGACAGGTCCCCAGGGCAGTAGAGTCAACAGTAAAAGTGTGACTTAAAACGTTCTTATCTGTTCTTTCTTGAAACATTTTAAATTCGTTACGCTTACAGATTTTTGAACAGTTGAAAGTGAACACTTGGTTATTAAATGAGATCAGTTAGTAAGTAGGAAAAGGAAAGAGAAAGCCCAGGTGACGGTGTACCCGTTGCCCTGCTCTCTGACCCAGCACAGTGAGTTCACTTGGCTGGCAGGCGTTGGTCCGGCCGTATGCCTGCTGCCTGCTGTCCAGCTTCACGGCCACATCATGAATTGTGTCGACGGGCTGTCCGCAGGTAGCAGAGAAGAGTGGGCGGCCGAGTCTGCTTGGGTGGTTAGGAGAGGCTTCTGAGAAGGGCCTGAGGTTGCTTGGGGTGTGTAGGGCAAGGGTGAGTTCCTGGGTGAAGAAGGGGCAGTGGGGTGGGGGCAGTCAGGGCATGATGTCTGGGGCAGAGCGTGGCGGTGCTGCAGCTGGGAGTTCTGAACTCTGTCCTCGCTGGGAGGACAGAACTAGACAGAGGCCAGATTGCTTGAAGACCGGTACTGTGTCCAAGTCTGAACTCGGCCTGTGGACTCTGAAGGAGAGAAGAGACTGGCGTGTCCAGTTTGCATTTGGACTCTTGTGCCGGCCCCTTGGAGGAGTCCTGGGAGCCGGTTAAGCTGCAGGATGCAGGTCTGCGCCTGAACCTGGGAGCGGGGGTGGGAGGGCGGGAGGAGACACAGGTGGTAACGCCAGTGTCTGGGCTGGGCTTTCATGGAGCGCAGGGGGTAGGAACACAGGCTGAGTGTCTGGCAGGAAGACGTGTGGCTGAGGGGCTCATCGCACTGTCTTTTCTTTTCAGAATTCTTTGCTGCTTGAAGCTGTGTGGCATCTTCACGTTCAGAACATTGTAAGCCTCCAGGAGCTGCTGGAAAGGTAGTATATAGTGGCAATTTAGCATTAAGTTAAATAAAACTTTAAATTACAAATTCAAATTTTATGTCACATGAAATTAAATTAATATTACGTGATTTGTATTTTGTAACCCAGTCTAACATGACTTATGTATGTATCAAAGCCAAAAATCACCCAAGCACTTACTTTATTATTTAAAAAGGGCATTTGTTAAACCTGAAGTCCTCATTATGCACAAATTTGATCATGTCCTCTTTGTATAAGATTTATAATGTGATAAAATATTTTTAGAAACTAAAAAAGAGACTTTCAGATACGTATGGTGGGTAGAATGTGTGCAACTGCTTTTAATACCTCCTGAAGTCCCACCAAGCGTCAGAAAGGGGGTTTTCGCAGAGGAGTAACTCCAGAAAGCTGGAAGAGTTGGGAGGAGGCGACTCCGTGGGCTGAGCCGGCGGCCTGGGAAGAAGCAGGTCCCGTTTGCTCTCCTGCTCCCTTCCTTTCAGTGCGGGTGAAGGAGGCACGGAACCCAGGCTTGAGAAGCGCTGGGGGCCTGAGATGTGGCTCCTTGCTTGCTCTGGGCAGCAGGTGGTCTCTCCTCCCTGGCTGAACAGGGGGCAGGAAGTCTAGATGTTCCTTCTCTGGTCAGGAAAACACAGTAACTGTCAGGCACAGTTCAAAAGGCCACATTGAAACCAGTGGTGTGACAAGTGGGTCACATCAGAAGTTATAAAAGATTGAACAATTTGACTATGTGAAAAACCTACTTCCTGATATATACACCTAATGTCAGAGCACCAAAACATATGAAGCAAAATCTGACAGAATCAAAGGAGAAACAGACATCTCCGCAGTGTTAGAGCCTTCAGTCCCTGTCAGTAGTGGGTCGGTCCCCTGGTCAGATCAGCCAGGACCTGGATGTGAGTGAGCAGCACCAGACCAGCTGACTCACCTGCCACCAGTGGGGCGTTCCACCCAGTCCCAGCACAGCACACATTCTCCAGCATGGAGCAGCCTCAGGGGAGATCGCATGATTTGGGCCATAAAACAAGTAGGAGTAAGTATAAATGTGTTGAAACTGTACCAAGCATGTCCTCCAACAACAAAGGAATTAGAATCAACAACAGAAGAAAACCTGGGAAATCCACAATATTTGGAAAGTAAGCAGCGAACTTTTAAGTAATCAGTGGCAGTGAAAAAGTCACAAGGGAAGTTAGAAAATACCTCAAGACAAATGAGAATGGAAATACACCAGAGTTTACGGGATGCCACCAAAGCAGTCTTATTGGTATATACAGCCGAAAACGTCTGTAGGAGAGAAGAGAATGATCTTAAATCATTGACCCAGCTCTGATCTTACGTTAGAGAGAAACGAGCAGACTAACCCAAAGCCAGCAACAGGAAGGGAATAACAAGGCTTAGAGCAAAAGTCAGTGAGATAGAAAAGGTAAAAACAATGGAGAAAATCAGTGCAACAAAAAATTGGTTCTTTGAAAAGATGAACAAAATTAACATGCCTTTAGCTAGACTTACCAAGAAAAAAGACACAAATGGTCAAAATCAAGAATGAAAAAAGTGGAGGAAGGGGGTGTAGCTCAGTGGTTAGGGTTAGAGAGTACCTGCGTAGCGTGTACAAGGTCCTGGGTTCCACCCCCAGGGCCTCCATTAAGTAAGTAAATAAACCTAACTGCTCCCCCCACCAAACAAATGAAAAAGGGGATATTACTGCCGACCAGACAGAAATTAAAGGCATTATGAGATAATACTGTGAACAATTATGCCAATAAATTAGAAAACAGATGAAATGGATGAATTTCTAGAAAGATGCAAATTACTGCACTGGCTTAAAAAGAAAAGGTCTGGTTAGATGTATAACAAGAAAGGAAATTACTAATTTAAAATCTTCCCAGAAAGGAAACCTCAGGCCTAGACAGCCTCTCCAGTGAGCTCTGCTTAATGCTTAAAGAAATGTGCTGTTCCTTCCTCAGTTCTTCCAGAAAGTAAAGAAGGATGGAACACTTCCCAGCTTATCCATGAAGCCAGTAATACCCACATCAAAGCTGGACAATATTATCACAAGACAAGAAAACCACAGACCAATATCCCTAGTGAATACAGATGCAAAAATTCTCAGCAAAATATTTGCAGAGTGAGTCCAGCAACATCCAAAAGGCTTAAACACCATAAGGGAGATCTGTCCCCCAAAGGCGAGGATGGTTTAACATTGGAAATTAATCAGCACGTTAGCAGCGTGAAGGACAAGAGTCACCATCTTAACAGACGCAGCTCGCAGCTGACAGAATCTGGTGCTCTGTCCTGATGCTTCAGCAGTACAGAGGCAGAGAGAAGATCCGGTGTAAGAGTGGACAAAGGGTTTCAGTTAACATTTCTCTAAAGAAGGTATACAAGCAGCCAAGCGTGTGAGAAGCTGTTCAGCATCACTAGTCACCAGGGAAGTGCAGATGTGACAGTGAGGCGGGTGAGGCCCCCACCTACCTCCCTGCCTGCGGTAAGGTTTCAGGTAGTAAGGTTTCAGGTGCACGGTGTTCTGCACAGCGGAGGCCTTGTGGACACCTAGAGGCCGTCGTTGCTACTGGCTCATCAATTTTTTATTGCTGAGCTTTTTTCCCCCAGCAGTAGTAAGCTACTCCGAATAAATAAACTATTTGGAAAAAACGATTTTTACCATCGATGACAGACGTCCCTGACTCCTCTTGTGAGCGGGCCCTGTTGTGGCATGGGTGGGGAGGCTGGGACAGTTGCTAGCTTGCTCTCAGTGGCCTGAGCGTCCAGCAGAGTGGGTGTGGAGGAAATGGCCTGATGGCAGTGGAGTGGTGGGGTTGGGGTGAGCTGTGTGCTTGTGTCCCCAGCCAGGCCAACGTCCAGGCCGTGGTGGCCTGGCTCTTCAGGAACCTACGCCTCCTGTGTGAGCATATAGAAGCGCCCTGTCCACAGGCTGACATCGGCAGGGCCGTGCTTACTGGTAAGTGCACCATGGAAGTAGATTCCTGGGGACAGTTGATGTAGACCAGTGGGGATGCTGTTCGCTGTGATGATTCGCAGGAAGCACGGCTCCCCCACTCTCACGTGGGAGCATGAAGTCATCTCAGTCCACACCTGCCTTTGTGGGTTTGAGTTTAACTTGAGTTGTGTGGAAACTGAGTTGGCCTAGTGACCCATGGTGCTGGGGCTGGAGCTGGTATGTGAGAGGTGTGTAGGCTGTGGCCTGCTGAACAAGGGGCGCACACCACCCACACGGCTCCCACTGCGCGGAAGGGAGAGCCGCAGTGCTGTTTCGATGGGAGGTGCGGTTTCTGTACACCCCCACAAAGGAAGCAGCCACAGGTTTGTTGTTACGGATCCTGGCGAGCCGAGGGAAGGGCCGTCCTCCGTCCCAGGCCACGAGTGAGCGGGAGAGTACTTGTGAGGCGGTTGAGGCGAGGCCACTGACTTTCCAGGGCTCAGCTCTAAGGGGTTATTTTATAATTTTATTTTACCTTGTTTTGTTTTATTTTTAATTTTTATTTAGTGGATGCACTGGGGATTGAACTGAGGACCCCATGCATGCTAAGCATTTGCTCTACCACTGAGCTACACCCAGCCCCTCCAGGTTCCCTGGAGAAGTGGGGTGGGACCCTGGGCAGGAACCCTTGTCTAAGTGCTGGACTCGGCGAGCAGGGCTGCCTGTTGTGGAATGCCTCGGCGGCACGCCTGCGTTCTTCTGGGCAGCTCTCCACCGGAGCAGGCCCTGGCCTCTGCTCCTCCAAGTCAGCAGACCCCTGCCATTGCCAGCAACCCCGGAGGAGTGAGATCCACAAATAAATGAAAACTTAGATGAAAGGTGGGGCTCCTTACAGGTGGCTCGTAGATCTTTTTCCTTTGCAAAAGGCGCACTCCTTTTTCCTAAAACTTTCTGTGACATGCGCTATTTACTATTCCTGAACCCTGTAATCTGGTCCCAGATTAAGTTTAAATTGACATTTGACAGAAAATCTAATTTCAGTCCCCTGGGCTCTCTTCTTTTCGGAAGGCAGGAGTCTGTCTCCTGCCTCATTCCCCACAGTGTTTCCAGGTCCTGGAGAGCCCTCCTTGGCTGTGGTACAGGGGATTGGCCAGAGAGAAAGTCCACAAGAGCCCTTAGAAGACGCTGTCTGTCTGTCTTAAGGGAGAAAATCCTTTCTGTAAACTCGATCAGCTGTAAGTGTCGCCCTTTGAATGGAGCAGCAGGAAGAAGACTGCAGCTGAGGAAGGGCTCCGGCTGGCTGGGCTGTGAATGCGGTGGGGTCAGATGGGCTCCCGGGGCAGGAGCAGCTGTCCCCACAGCCCCTCTGGAGCTGGTGGTCTGTGTGATTCACAGCTGGTCAGAGGCCACGGTGTATGTAAGTGCTTTGGCTCTGTGGTTTTCAGATATTGTGCGCTTGCTTGTGTTGAGCGGCTTCCAGAAAGGTGTGGATCTGAGGAGAAGCGTGAAGCTGGAGCAGACGCCCCAGGTAGGAGTGAGGAGTATGCAGTCTAGGCCGCACTGTGAGACACGCCACAGCGTGAGGGGTAGCCCCTGCGAAGTGGTCATTGTCTGGAGCTCCTGTACCCTGGCCCATGCTCCACCCACACCTGTCATGGGGACGTGTGGTTTGCTGGTGGTGTGGGAGGTGGCCTGGCAGTGGTTTCTCCCCACGTCTCTGGTTCCCAACCCTCTCGAGGCTCAAGGCCTTCCACGTGGTGCAGAGTCCTGGCCTGCGCTTGGGACAGGACGGGAGGGGGCCCCTGACTGGTACTGGCCGAGATGGGCTCTCCTTGGTGGAGCCCATGCGGGGAGGCTGGCAGGGGCCCGGGCCGGGGGAGGGGGGCGGGCATGATGGGCCTCCTGCCTGTCGCTCGGCTCCCTCCCGGTGGGGCAGCGTCTGGACCCGGGAGGCATCTCGGCAGGGTGGCTCTTCGTAAAGGCCGGTGTCCTCTCCCTTCGGAGAAATGGCTGGTGTCCCACGCCCGTGGGTGACCGCGGTGCTCTGTGTTGACAGGTCGCCGCGGCTGTCCTTGGGAGGATGCTCACGTGTGCGTGGCTCTGTGGCCCCGGCTGTGGGTGACGCACTTGCTGGTGGGGATTCCCGTGGTTCTCACTTTCCGGTCCAAGTCCGGGTCCCGGGAGGCCCTTCTCTGGCTGAGACTTGTTCTGAATTTGCTGGGCTTATCCCCCTCTCCCCTCCTCTTCATTTCGGTGGCTTCACGGTTTATCTTCAGAGCAGCAGCAGTGGTCGTTTAATGGCTAATCAGGGAAGCGTTTTATTGCCTGCACATAGTGATTGGCTTCGGGGTTTAAGTCTGGTACCACCGAGACACTTGGAAGCTTGAAGGGCTTATGTCATGGGGGTTTGGGAGGCCCGGGGGTCTGTGACTCCAGAGACCCATTACCTGACTTGCCCGGAAACACTTGGTCAGGGGCCACTTCTGGTGATGGTGACGATGTGTGTCTGATTTCTGCCTCAGTCGCATTGGAGGCTCTGGCTGGCGGGATAAAGGAGGAGTCCCCCGAGCACAGGACAGCGAGGGGCTGGTAAGTTCACAGGGGTTTCCTGCTGGCGGACAGGTCCCAGGGGTGTGGGTCCCTCTGCAGGGATCAGTGATCCTTTCCCTGCCACTGTGAAGGTGTGAGGAGAGGGTGACGGCTGGGAGAAACCCTGTGGCCTGCCTGCGCTCTCTGCAGATGGGCCCTTCCTGTGGGAACTGTGCCCTCTCTGGGTCAGGGGCACCCCCGTGGGGCCTGCTGTCCGTGGTCCTGAGGGAGTGTCCGTCTTCGTCCTTGTGGACTGAGCCTGGGAGTGTCGGGTTTGCTTCAGAGTGATGTGGGGTGAGGCCCCCTGAAGTGGCGGCTCTTCTGGGAGGTTTCCCAGCATTTGCAGGCTTCCTCGCCCTTCCCATGTTTCACTTACGTGTCTCCTGACTGCTGTACCCCAGTTACTTCAGCAGTCCTCTGACCTGCTGTAGGGTCCAGTGCTTTATTTAAGCTGGGCACAGAATGCTGCTTTGTGGTGTATTTTGTTTTCCTGACGAGCCCGACCAGGTTGCTCACACCAATCCTGAGTGTCAGATCACCACTGTCCTGCTGCTGCTGGTTTTAAATTAATTACCAAAACTTAAGCTAAGTCACACCTCTCCCAGTCCGGGGGGCCAGCCTCCCTGGCGCCCCCGTGCCCTGCCCCCAGCCCACGCCTCCTCACCGCATGTGTGTGGCTGCAGGGACCCTGGATTCTGTCCCCTGAGGAGTGGCGGCACTGCCATCTGCCGAGTCACCCCCCTCCATCCTGCTTCCTCTCATGGACGCCCTCCCTGCATCTGTCACGGGGCGTGCTTGGCTCCAGGAGGGCTATGCGTGTGAGAGGCTCCGTGTGCCAGGCGCTCAGAGACTGGGCACAGCCCGCTGCCTCCGACTCCTGGTTCACTGGTGGGGAAGCTGGGGCTGTGCACTGGGCCGTTCCCTGGCCCGGGCCTGCCATTGGCTACAGGCCCTGTGGCCCCGGCACGTCTGGTCCATGGAGGCCAGCCCTCCCAGTCCTCACTCTGACTTTCCGGCTCCTCCACTCGACCCTCTCCATTGCCTTTGATCTCTGTCCTGTTGAGATGGCACTTCTCTGGATCCCGTTTCTGTCTGCAGTGCGGCAGCCTGGCCAGGGCAGTGTCAGGGCTTGGGTGGGTTTGGCACCAGGGGCCTGGAGGTCTGAGCGTGAGGTTGGCTGCTGGATGTGGAGCCTTGTGGGTCTCCTTCCCTAAGAGCCTCTTCCTGCTGCATCTGCAGGTTCAGCACGTTCAGTGGACACACGTATCATGGTATAATTTCAACAGACTCTCCAAAGAGGTTTTTCTTTCATACTCTGACCCAGATCCTCACCCACAAGCCTGTGCTGAAAGGTGGGTCCTGGTGTGCGGGCACCTCCCCAGGCAGGAGCTCAGCCCCGGATGTGAACACTGCAAGACCCTCAGTTTGTCATTGCATATTGTCTTGTTGACTGTGACGCTTTCCCGTAAAGAAAATTTTAAGGAGTGTCACACATCGTGTCACCAGAGTAGGGTATCTTTAACAGGAAGCCCTTCGTGTCTTTCCTAGATAGACAGTGAAAACAGTGCTCATACAGTAAATTCCAAGGTTCTGTTTTTATATGTCGTATCAGTATTTCTTTACGTAGCTGCACAGTTTTCTTAAAAGCATTTGACACTGTGTCATCATCGGCCAGCACATGTCCTCTGCCTGGCATGGTTGGGGGGGCCCTGGCCTGTTGGTCCATCCTGCCAGCACTGTCCTCACTGACTTCTTACTGACAGTGGAAGTGTAAAAGCAAAAGCAAAATGTAACTGATGGATTAGAGAATAATTGTAGCAAATACGATAAAGGATTGCCAGAGACACACAAATTTGGTAACAGAAAACAGTTAACAAACGGGGAAACGGTGAACCTCACTTACATTTGGAAAAGTGCAAATTAAAAACAAAGTAGTTCTTTGACGTTGAAGCTTTTTGACGATTACTGACTTGACATTTTTCTTTCCCTCTCAATGAAGTTTCTGATGCTGTTCAAATGCAGAGAGAGTGGACCTTCGCGAGGTCCCACCCTCTGCTCACCAGTCTGTACCGCAGGGTGAGTGTCGGGGCTGCACCCACTGCTGGTGTTGGGATGAGGGGATCTGAGACCTGCTTTGTGAGACTTGGCTGCCACGTCTGTGCTGTCGCCTGGGGTCCAGACGCTGAAGTAGTCCTCTGGGCAGAGCCCCTTGTGCTGAAACGGAGGCCTCCCTCCGGCCGGTGCTGCCCGCCGGGCACAGGGAGGCTTGGCGTCTCCAGGCCAGGTTGTGTCCGCTGGGGAGCTGGGGGAGGTGGGTGTCTGGCTTTGACACTTTGTTTCAGCTCTTGGTGGCCCTGAGCCCTGAGGAGCTGGTCAGCCATTTGCAAGAAGTTCTGGAAACCTGTGAGGTGAACTGGCAGCACGTGCTGTCCTGCGTGTCTGCGATGGTGGTCTGCTTGCCGGATGCCCAGCAGCTGGTTACCGGTGCGCTGGGGTGGGAGCCCCGTCTGTCCTGTGTGTGTGCGTGTGTGCACATGGCTTGTGGACCAGTGTTTGGGGGTTAGCCTGAAGCCTGTGGGTATAATCACTGCGCCAGCTCAGGGAGGGTGAAAGTCCTCGCCTGCCGGCAGGTGCGCTAAGTCCTGCCCCCTGCTTGGTGAGCTCCTCCTGCGGGCTGGCTACCTGGAAGTCAGTGTCACGCGGACCCTCTTGCCTGGAATGCTGGGTCCTTGACCCCTGCCGCAACTCCCTTCTCGTCTAGGTTGGGTGGCCCGTTTGCTGGCCCGTGCGTTCGGGAGCTGTGACCTGGACAGCATGGTCACTGCATTCCTGGTTGTGCGTCAGGCCGCGCTGGAGGGCCCCTCTGCGTTCCTGTCCTATGCAGACTGGTTCCAGGTGAGCTGCCGAGCACCCTGCCGGCACCTGTTGTGTCCCCAGCTCGAGTGCCAGAGGGAGCGCGTTCCATGGTCAGCTCTGTGGGGACCGCTCGTCGGTGAGAGCAAGAACGAGCGCAGACCATGCTGTCCTGGGACTGTCTCCCCTCGGTGCGGAGAGTCCCCCCAGCCCTGGGCCTGCTGAGCCCCCCACACCTGGGGGCGTCTGCGTGTGTGACAGCTTTGCAGGGTCCTGGGCAGAGTAGCTGCTGCCTCTTTGGAGAGCTTGCCTCCCTCCAGTGTCCGCACAGCTCTGCGCCTAGCGTGTCCAGGGGCGGTGGGCTTGATTCTCTCACTCCCCGAAGCTCTCTCCTCAGGCAGGGACCTCGCTGGACGTGCACGGGCTCACTGACTATGTGTTCTGTCGGCTCTCCTGTCTGGCCATCCGCGTGTTTGTTAGGGAGAACCCTGGTGCACGTGGGAGGGCAGGCCGCCCCGGGTGCACATGGTGGCTGCCGTGAGGCCCACGTGACCTGTCAGTACACACTCAGGCCTGATGCCTCCTCAGAACCTCCTTGCCCCTGGCGCCCCTGTTGCTGGAAGGGAGGGTTTGCTCTCATGTTGTGACCCGGGCACTTTGTCCCGAGGGCCCACCCACCTGGGTGCCTCCCCACAGGGGTCGCGTCCACTCACAGACGGGCGTGGACCTCAGTGTGGGTGACGCCTCTGAGGTCCACAGAAAGGTACAGGGTTACTGCTGCCTACAGGAGCATATTTTTAATTTTTTAAATAAACTTTCAGCCCCTCTCTTTGGCCAGGGCACAGCCGGGACGTCTGGAGATAAGTGAGCTGGGGTGGCTGCGTCCATTTCCATGCTGTCTTTGAGGCAGGTCCTCCTGCCATGGCCTCATGCTCTCTCTCCTCGCAGGCCTCCTTCAGCAGCATGCGGGGCCCCCATGGCAGCAGCAAGAGGGCCTTGGTCTTCCTTTTCAAGTTCCTGTCCGACCTCGTACCCTTCGAGGCCCCCCGGTACCTGCAGGTGAGCTGCTCGGTCCCCAGTCCATGGACGTCACACCCGGGCACCTCCTGAGCTTCCCCCACAGATGGCGGTCACGCTGGGGGTGTCGGGGCACGTTTCCCAGCATAACTGCCCAGAAACCAGCCACATGTTGTCCTAGGAGCTGGTGGGTGAGAGGTAGATCCTTCAGTGAGGCACGCACAGCCCTTCAGAAGGGGAAAGCGGGTATGCCAGCCACGGTCTCCACCCCCGCCGCCTGACACCAGGAGCACGGGTGTCGTGGGTCCTGGTTTTGTTATTTGAAAAAATGACGTATTTCTGTGTTGGAGGAGGAATCTTGGGAAGAAGACACTCCTGGCTGCCGGGGCCGTCTCTTCCGGGAGTGGAAGGTTTTATGCCCTGGTGTACATGTTTTAGCACTGTGTGTGTTACTCTCCTGATTAACACATGCCTTGCTTCCTTTTTCGGTTAGGTAGCTGTGCTCAGCTTTTGTTTTGGGGGTAGGGCACTTGGAAAATGATTCTCACCTTTTTTTAAAGAAACTTGTTATTTGATTTCAAAGAATTCCTAGACCAGCATACGAGGGCTGGAGCGTGTGCTTGTCACCAGTGACGCCCAGGGCACCGCCCCCAGAGTCCAGAGTCCCCGCCCACCCTGCCTGGCCGCCCCGAGCTCTACTTCTGTGCTGTGGCTGGAGTCCTCCCTCCCATCTGGGGGCCAAGGGTCGGCTCTGTGACTGCACCCCTTTCCGCCTGGCCTGCCCGCTTCTGCGGGACATTGGCAGCCACAGGTGGAGACCCTTACCCAGGTTCCGTCTGTCCGCGCCCAGCCTTTGCCCTGTGTCTTTAGCAAACTGTCTAACTTTCCTGTCAGGGTTGGCACAGGTGTCTCCCTGGGAAGTCGGGGACAGTTTGTGGGCTGGCGTCACCCCGCTCCACCCTCGTCCCCAGGTGCACATTCTCCACCCGCCACTGGTACCCAGCAGGTACCGCTCCCTCCTCACCGACTACGTCTCACTGGCCAGGACGCGCCTGGCCGACCTCAAGGTGCGTTTCAGCCTTGCCTGCTGCCTGTGTCCCCTCTCCACAGAGGCAGCGCCCGCCAGGGTCCTCACGTGTGCCCCTCTCCACAGGTTTCCATAGAGAACACGGGACTCTACGGGGCCCTGTTGTCAGCTGGAGATGTCGCAGAGGTAACGGCCCTGGGCCTCCGGGCATCTGCGCCTTCTCTGTCGGGGCCCTGGTGTGTCTGGTGAGCTGGGGCGAGCCATCCCGAAGGTGTTGGAGCAGCAGGGCTCACCACGCACAGGAACCCTTCTCTAGGGCCTCCCGTGGTGTGTGTCTCTGAAAAGCTGGGCAGGGCAGGGCCATGTTCTTCTAGGAGTTAGAAAAGAAGGTGTTAACTGTTTACGTGAACCGTACATCAGCTGGCTGTGGGGATTGTGTGTGTTTTAAGGCCCTCTGAATGAAAAGCTGTGCATCTCTGGGGAGCCTGCGTAGACGCTATTGCTTGAATATTTTAAAATATTTGATGGTTTTGCATTTAAGGTTAATTTTTGCTCCCAAGTTGCCATATCATGATTTTTAGAAATCTCAAAAATGAGGTCTCTGTGCCTTCTCACCTGGAAGTCTCTTGTGGGAACTGCTCACTCCCCCAGAAGGGCAGGGCGGGGGCTGGGCAGTGGCTTCCCAGTGCTGAGCTTCCTGAGGGTGTGAGCGGCATGTGGTCTATGGGGAGGTTGTCTGAGTGCTCCCTGGCCGGCTCTCACCCTGAGAGGATGAAACCGTGGCTCTGCTCCACTCCTGTCTTTTCTTCTAAATGCTCCGTTCTTTTCCGCCCTCCCCGCCCGGACCCAGCCCCACAGCCAGGCATCCCAAGATGTGGAGAAGGCCATCGCGGTGTTCATGCAAACTGGGAAGATTCCTGCCGCCGTCCTGGAGGCCAGGTGTGTTCCCGCTGCCAGAGCTGTCCGAGCCCCTCGGGTCTGCTGCGCGGTGGTGCCAGGGCCTCACACGACGTGTGTGAAGCACGGACTGCTCAGAGGGCCAGGCCAGGACAGGCCTGGCCTCTGTGTGGCAGTGATGCTTTCTAAATTAATGCGTCATTGCTGCCTAGTGTGAAGCCAGTGCAAGGAGTTAAGCTGTTGGATTTGGTGTGACCCCCAAAATACCTGGAATCTGGTTGCTGCCATGTGGGGCACGTGGGGGACGTGAACCGATTCCAGTGCCCAGATTTTTCCACGGTCGGCCTCATGGCCTTGGGTGAACCCTGACCCCACGGCCACACCCAGGGACCCAGCCACGTCCCTGATTGCCCGGGCTCAGGGTGGTCACCAGCACAGGGTACCTTAGTGTGAAATGTTCCTAGACAGTGACAAAAAAGACTTAAAAGTGTGTCAACACGCAGGGCCCGTCCCAGAGGAAGGTGTCTGTGCTGTCCTCGGCCGGGCCGTCCGGCCCTGGGTGGGGCCCCTAAGCCTGCCCTTCTCTGTTGCAGCGTGTTCCGGAGGCCCTACTACCTGTCCCACTTTCTCCCCGCCCTGCTCACTCCGCGAGTGGTCAGTATGCGTCCCGTGTGCCTGGGGCCGGGTCAGCAGGGAGCGGGGCTCCTGTTGGCACCTCACCCAGACCTGCCTTTCCTCTCAGCTCCCGGCAGTCCCCGATTCCCGGGCAGCCCTCGTGGAGTCCCTGAAGCGGTAAGTAAGGGCGCCTCTGTCCCCAGGGCATCGTGGTGCTTTTGTGGAGGAGTGTGTCTTACCACATGTGTGTTTTATTTATAAAAACTTGGTTCAGAATTAGTTGGTTAAGATATTGAAGAGAAAATTTCTTTGATTCTGAGTATCATCAGTTAGCATTTTTCAGTCAACTTTTAGGATGATTGTTCAGGGAACTAAAGAAAGTGTTTTTGGTACATAATCATGGAAGGAGGACACTGTAAGCAAAGAAGGAAAAGAGACGGGAGAGGTTCACTTCTGAAATTTGGGAATTATCAAGATTTGAACGAGAAAAGTGAGAATCATTTATAATCTCACTATCCAGCAGAAACGACTCATAACGACATAGGGCGTGTTATGAAGCCGCCAGGACTATTTAAATCCATGTGTACAACCTTTTTTCCTAAAAACAAGGTGATGCTGTGTGGTGTTGTGTAATTTATTTAGATTCGTTGTATGGCATGTTTTTATTTTATGATAGTTTTGGAATCTCAGCTTGAGAATTAATTTGAGTCGCAGCTGATTTATTGTGATGCTCTCTCCTGACCCAGAGCAGATAAAATCCCCCCGTCTCTGTACTCCTCCTACTGCCAAGCCTGTGCCGCTGCTGCAGAGACGGGGCCGGAAGGTAAGGCCACTGGGGCTGGGCCCCGACACGGCCCATCCACTTCCCAGTGACCAGATGTGTCAGTGGTGCCCTGGTCGGTGCTGGCCTGGTTGTGTCACTCTGGGTTCTGGCCAGAGCTATGGCTTCAGAGACTGCCCGGCCCCGGAGCAGTCCTGACACCAAGAAGGTCACCTGGGATGTCACTCTGGTCCCTGAGAGCACGCGTGGAGGACGAGGTGCACTTCCCCGTTTGCCCCCTGTGTGCCCTGCTGGGGTCGTGGCATGCTTTCTGTCTGCCTGTCTGAATTCAGGCTCTAGGTCCCAGTGACAAGCTAGGCCCGAGGCTGCTCCCCTGCTTCTGCAGCGTGCCCTGGTGGGGGTCTGCCCACAGCTTTTTGGCTGTTTGGACGGTTGGGATCTTCTGCTTCTAGGGGTGGGTGATTTGGACCCAGACCGAATGTGTGAAAGCATGTGTCAGTGAGTGTGAAGGTGGGGCTGCTGCTGGCTGGCCGCCCCTGCCAACACCTGCAGTTCTGTTTCCTAGTCTGTCTGCCAAAGCCCCCCTTTTACGACTCTGATAGTTTCCATGGAGACGCCACCTGTTGCACCAGTGTTGAAACACCTGGCAGACGGGGTGCTGGGGGCCGTGGGGCTGGGTCCGCTGCAGCGTGAGGCTCTGCTCCTCCTTTCCTGACCCGGTGGTCCTACTTCTGGGGGCCTCGAGGGTGTTTTCTAGCGCTGTGTCTGACAGGGCTAATCTCTGTTAGTAAACCTATTCACGTATGTTGACACCTGATAATCCTCCCTTGTGCACTGATTTTAAAGTCCTATTGTAAAAAACGTAAGTCACAGTGCTGCTTGAGAGTTTGAGAAACGGGTTGGGGAGGGTACAGCTCAAGTGGTGGAGTGCGTGCTCAGTATGCACGAGGTCCTGGGTTCAATCCCCAGAACCTCCTCCAAACATAAATAAATAAATAAATAAACCTAAGTACCTCCCCCCCAAAAACAAAACAAAACAAAAACAGTTTGAGAAATGGAATAAATCATCCTCTGTCCAGAATTCTGCTGTCCTGGCCAGCCTCCCTCCGTGTGCTTCTGGTCTTCCTCACACACATGCTTGTCAACGCTTCTGGTGATGCTGTGAGCAGAACCATGGTTTTTGTGAACTTCTTTATAAGCATTTTAGTTTTTGATGTGACGTTGGCGTCGACATCAGGGAGAGGATTTCACTCCCTCCACACGGAGCCCTCATCCCCCGTGTGTCCTGCGCAGAGGACCCGGGCACAGTGAGGCCCATGTCGTCTGGCCTGATTGTTGAGACCACCTCCTGTCTCTCAGGTGCAGCCCCAGGAGGGAAGGAGGAGCCCCGCAGCGCAGAGGAGCCCCTGGGCCTGCTCACGGCTGCCCTGGGGGAGCTCAGGGCCCTGTTGACCGACCCCACCCAGCATGATGGTGAGGACGGGCAGTGGGTGTTGGTGGGTGAGCTCAGGGCTGGGCCGTGTCCTGTAAGGATGCGGGTCAGCGTGTCTTCCCAGCAGGGCAGCACTGGGCAGTGAGGCCTGACCACAGACACTCGGGCTGTCCCAGAGCCTCTGTTCTAGGAGACGAATGTTCTGCTGTTTGGCGTCCCGATAGACCGGTGGCGGGAGAGCTGCCTTCCTAGGGTTAGGGCTGTTCTGTTACCTGCATGCCTGGAGCTCCTGCTCTCAGCACTGGGCCTCTGTCTCTGGGATGTTTTTTATGAAATAGGGCTATGGAGTGAGCAAGGGCCGTCCAGAGCACGAAGCGGCCCTCAGTCTGTGAGGCAGAAAACTGAGCCCCCGGCACTTTCAGGTGTTTCTCATGGGAAATGCAGAAACTGAAGAAGCTTTGTGTTTACCTGGTAACTCTCATGGATTTTTATTTATTATGAACTCATGGTTCCATGAGACAGGGGAAGGACAGTCTACCCTTGAACCACCGGTCCACTCAGCACGTGCAGATCTTTTTTCAATACGTATACTGAAATTGTTTTTGAGATTTGTGACAATTTGAAAAAAAATTGTAGATAAGCCACATAGCCTAGGAGTACCAAAAAACAAGGTATGTCATGAATGCATACGATGTATGTGGATTCGTGCGTGACACAGGACACGTGGTCATCTGCGTGTTTCCAGTGAGCTGTAGGAGGTGCGTTCTGGGGGTCAGAAGTCACACACGAATTTCAGTCATGCAGAGGTGGGGAGCTCCAGGCCTGGCGTTGTTCAGGGATCCACCGTGCTGACAGCAGCTCGGCTCTGCCTCAGCTGTGCTCCTGCCGAGAGCTGAGGGCCTGGTCTCATGGCCAGTGTGGCCTTTCTGAACTCTGTTCCTTGGAGACTTGGGGCCTGTGTGAGCTCCAGTGCTTCAGCAGGGTGGCCAACAGGTCAGGTCTCCCATGTTCTTAAAAGCAGCAGAGGTGGCACCAGGGCTGTGGGTCCTCACGTTGGTGGGACGTGGGGGAGGTGGTGAGCAATTTCAGTCGGAGAATTTAAATACCATGTGGTGAAGGACTGCCCCAGGCCTCGGTAATCCAGGAGCTGGTGGCGCTGTGCGTGTCTCCACGTGACCACCCGCCCTGGGGACAACCGGTTTCGCTGTCGGCTGGTGGACCATGGTGGGAGGAGAGGGTCGCACCAAAGAGACGGCAGTAGTGGTGGCCAGGGCTGCTGCCTGAGCCTCCTGGTCGGTGGGGGGGCCCGCCAGCCCCGCCAGCCGCTCCCCGCACTCCCGCTCTGCTCCCTTGGTCTCCTTTCAGGCCTGTTGGCTCAGGTGGCAGTGATTTCCGAGAGGCTCGGCGCCACCCTGGGCCTCGGCGAGGACGACAGCAGCGTGGAGCCTGTGGTTCAGCTCAGCATCCTTGCTCCCGAGCTGGAAGGGCAGGAGCGGAGGGTGCGTGTGGGATGCAGGAGGGGGCGCGGGGGTGAGCACCCTGGCTTGTGCAGAAGTTAAGGCTAGAGCCGCATGTGAACTAGGTGTCGGGAGTGGGCAGTGCTGTCTGTGCAGAGTGCTGGTCTGAGGGGCATACGCAGCAGAGGCTGCTCGTGGCCCTGCTCGGCCGTGGCCTGCTGCGTCCCCACGTTGTGTCACAGCTTACTCTCCAGACACGCGCTGTGTTGCCATCTCTGTAGCTTGGTCGTGGCCCTGCCCTTCAGGGTGTGGACAGTGTGACGTCAGGCTCCTGGGCCCTAAGACGGTCTCTCTCCACTCAGGTGGTGGATCTCCTGCTGACATCTTTCTGCCAGAACCTCATGGCAGCCTCCAGCATCGCACCCCCCGACAGGTAGACGCTGCCATGGCTCCCTGGCAGTTGGGAGCTGTCCTGGGGGCAGCCTGCGTGCTCTGTGCAGAGGCGTCCAGCTCTTAGCCCGGGTCCCTGGCCCTGCCCCCGACTTCCTGCTGCGCTGGTTGTTGGGGGGGTGAGCCAGGGGCTGGCTTCACTCAAGCAGGACTTGGCGGGAGGTGAGGGCACCACAGGAGACCCCACTGTTGGGAAACATGGTTTGTTCTTGCATCTCCGGGGCCTGACTGCTTGTCTGCTGGACTCTGGGAGGGCCGAGCAGGGCCAGGCTGCCACTGGTCTCCATGGCTGCCCCCACAGGCAGGGCCCCTGGGCCACCCGCTTTGTGAAGACCCTGTGCAGACGCAGGCTTCTCCCCGCTGTGCTCACCAGGCTCTGCCAGCTGCTCCGCCACCAGGTAGGGCTGCCGCCTCCCTTTAGCAGGAGGTGGGCTCTATGCCCCTCCACCCCATGCCGAGTCACTGTTCTTTCCCATTTTAGGGCCCGAGCCTGAGTGCCTCACACGTGCTGGGGTTGGCCGCCCTGGCCGTCCACCTCGGCGAGTCCAGGTCTGCACTCCCGGAGGTGCGTGTGGGCCCTCCCACCCCTGCCAGCGGCCTCCCCGTCCCCGAGCTCTTCGACAGCCTCCTGCCATGTGGGACCAAGGAGTCCTCAGTGCTGTGCCTGAAGTGAGTTCCCCTCTGATCAGAAGTAACTCGTGTTCATCCAGCAAAATCTGCAAACAAACACGCGCTCCACAGACAGCCACTCTTGACCGTCCTGGCGAGCCTCCGTCCAGAACCTTGCCTTGTGTGTGGCTGGACTCGCCCCTCTGGTGAGGTCTGGGCTTTCCCTGTCGGGAGGGGCTCTCTGTCTGGTCCGGAGGTAAACTCTTCTCCAAGGGTTTTGAGACCTGTCATCCAGTTACGTGTGTGCACCCACTGCACGTGTGCGCCAGGCCCCCTCCCAGGACCTGGAGAGTGAACAGGGCGTCTGGAGCCTGTGGGGTGGCCGCCCCCCGGGCCGGCAGGGCCGAGTTGCAGTGTGCTGAGTGGGCAGAGCCCCTGGGTCCACGTGTGACTCAGGTACAAAAGGTTTTCGCAGCTGCTGAGGTGAATGGACAGACGGTCAGGACAGAAGCCGGAGGCTCTGGTGGGAGTTGTTGGCTAGGACCAGGGTCCCCTTTCATGGATAGAACGACTTGAGAGACAAGCACAGGAATGCGGCCCCCTACGTCCCCGCAGTCCCCTGCAGCAACAACGACGAGTCCCCTCTGGGAGGCATTCCTCCCTCCCCACCTTCCTGACTCTCTGGGCCTCAGTCCAGGTCTGCTCCCCGCGCCTCTGCCTCCCTGCATTTCACAGACCACCACGTGCGGAGGCTCAGCCTGAAACTGAACATGCTTCTCTCTGGTTCTGAGACTTCTTTAGGGCGGAAAGAGTGAGTAATTTGCCAACACTCAGGTGAAGGAGAGCCATCACGTGATGGCAGGCGTAGCGCGCTTCCGGCATCTGCTGGTTTCATCCCGTTTTCTCTGGCTGTGGCTGGTGGCACACAGTGAAACAAGCCCTTATGTGCAGAGTCTGGATGTTCATGTGTTTCTGAGTCTCCAGTCAGTGTGGACAGAGCTCAGACCAGACGAGGTGACCCAGGCCATCTCCCGTGTGCTCGGAGGAGCTGTCTGGCCAGGCCTGGGGCTGAGGGTGAGGACTGACCAGCCATCTGGCTTGAATGCTCTCGGTCCATTTGTTAATTTTTATTTATTGATTTACTTTTATTGAAGTATAGTCAGCTTACAGTGTTGTGTCAGAGTCTGGTGGATGGCATCATGTCTCAGTCATCCGTACACAAACGTATGTTCCTTTTCATATTCTTTCCATCATAGGTTACTGCGAGATGCTGAACGCAGTTCCCCGTGCTGCACAGTAGAGCTGTTCTCAGTTCAGACTCACTCTTCTTCTGACCGTTATTTTGCATGGATCACATTTCTGTCTTACAGTCTCTATTTTCTATTTTCAGATTTTGTACAGCGGCAATTTCTTACTCTTTGTGTAAGTTTTCTTCCCAGTCACGTGACATTTTGTACAGTTGTTTGTCTCCAGGCCTTATAAAAAAGGTATGTCTGTTGGGTTCCTTTTCCTGCTTTTCCCATAAATTCCAGTTTGTGCAGATTTCTAGCCAGGGGTTCGAGCCCCCTGCGTCCTGGGCATGGCGCTGTGCCAACCTAGCAGGCTGTCCCGTGGGAGCCATGGCCTTTTCCTTCTGTCTGAGTTGAGATGAGGGTGGAAGGTGAAGGTACAAATACCTTCCCTTTTCTCAAAGAAATAGATACTTGATGAAGTAGGTAAATTAAAAGGTAAGTGTTTGTAAAAAGTGTCTTCCCATGTAAAGAAGAATCCTAAACTTTCTCTGAAGACTTCCCTCATCCAGTGAGTGTTGTGGTATTTATTAGAAGACCAGGAAAATTTTAAGATGTGTTAGAAACTTTAATGTCAAGCGTGGAGGTGAAGTTATAGTGAGAACCAGTGTTACTCTGTTTGCAGAGTTTTAAGGAGCACCTCTCGTAAAGTTCTCACTTGCGGGCTCCGTGTCAGACCCCTGGGCCCTGCCAGCGAGGAGCAGCCTGGGGTTCCGGGAGCCCTGTGCTCCCAGTCCTGTGGGGAGGGGCTGAGTCCCAGGTGCCAGGACTTAAAGCCACAGGGTGGTGATGGGGAGGCGTGGCCCAGACAGGGCCCACCCCCGAGTGCCCCTGCTCTGCACCCCATGCCTGCGTGCCCTTCTAGCAGCCTGTGGTCTGTCAGCTGGGCAGGCGGGGTGTCTCATCTGCCAACAGCCCAAGACAGACAGAACAGCCCATCGCGGACAGTGCTGTGCTCACCCTGCTGGAGCACTCAGTCGTGAGACCGGTGCCAGGAGTCTGGGGAGGCTTGTGCACTGGGCACTGAGCCCGGGGAGGCATTTAGACAGGCATGAGCCGTCCGTTGAGGCTGCTGGGTGTGGCCGGCCCTGAGCACTCCTCAGCCTCACGATGTGCTTCCAGTTCCAGTTCCTCACGCTCAGGCTGCTCTCAGAAGCCCGGGACGCCCCCTTGGAGGAAGCCCCAGCCGACCTGCCCTGGAGGCCCCCGGGCTTGCCCTCCGCTGACTGGCAGCGAGCCGCCCTTTGCCTGTGGAGGTGGAGAGCCTTCCAGGAACTGTCAGCGCAGGACAGATTCCACGTAGGTCCCTGTCCTTCCCCCAGCTCCGGGGTCTGTGGCTTTGACTGAAATCGCTCCTAGGACCAGTGCAGATTTACACGCAGCTGTAAGAAATTAGGGAGACATTCCCTCTCCTCTCTGCCCAGTTCCCCCAACTGTAACATTTTGCAGAAAATTTTAAGGGTGAATAAAAATGTACTTTAAATGTATCTGCCAGGCTCTGATCTGGGGCCGGGCTTCTCCGAGCACAGCCCACATGACTGTTTCTGCTATCTTTTCATGACTTTCCCTTTATTTCTTGGATGTCCACCTACTTGTTTTGGTCTTTAGAGAAAGAATTTCTGGTTGTTTTATTGTTCCTTTCCTGTTCACTGTATCAGCCACACAAGAGCAGGTCTGACAGTCTGTGTTTGACACCAGCAGGGACAGGCCTAGAGCAGCTGCACCCACAGCCACCATCCACACACGCGTCCCTGCTGGTGTCAGCGGCTCTGGCCTTCACACAACCACGAGCGTGCCGCGTGCACGGTCCCGGGACACAGCGTTTCACACACTGAGGTTTCGAGACTAGTCTGTGTTTTCTGGTTATTTGCCAGCTCGGTGCCTGGAAAGTGGATGCAGATGCCACAGGTTACCCAGAACAGGCAGCACAGTGAAGAATTCAGTGTAAAAGGCCGGTCTAAACAGTTCTGGCCAGCATCACGTTCAGAGTTCAGTCGGGCAGCGCGTGGGGTCTTCGTCCAGGCTCGCTCACAGCCGAGGTGTCAGCACAGCTTGGCGCCACGCTCTCTACTGCCGAGAGCCCTGGGGTCTGCGTCATCCTTGCTGTGCTGTTTGGTCACCTGGTCCTTCTCTTTCAGCTGACCTACAGAGACTGGTTGCAGCTGGAACTGGAAATTCAGCCTGAAGCTGATGTGCTCTCAGATACAGAAAGGTGAGTGTTTAGAGGGTCTGCCCTGTAGAACGCTACACAGTTTTCCACGTCATCCTAGGCTAATTTTTGTCATTATATTCTCGATTTAATGTTCAGTTTAACATACAGCCTATGAGTACAATTGTAATCATTTATTCTTTTATTCAACAAACATTAATTGAGGGCCTGCTATTTGCCAGACACTCCTAGAACATCGTGGAAGCTGGGTGTAGCATGCAGTCAGGGCGCACGGGGCACATATACCCCAAGCAGGCACTCTGGCCCTGGGACCTTGCAGAGCCGTGCCCTGTGTGGGCCTGGGGATGGCAGGCGGGTCTGTAATGTGGAGACATGAGAGGGGCGGTGGGAGCCAGGGCTCCCTGGAGGGAGGAGGAGGCTGCGCCTGGCCAGGGCCAGGGGGTGCCAGGAGAGTCTCGGCTCGTGTTAGCCAGCTCATCCACGTGGGGCCTGCGTCCTGGGCCTGCTTGGAGGAGCACTGGGCCAGCACCTGCCTCTGAGGTGGTGACGCCAGGAGTGAGGGACTGGGGTCTGAGCCCCTGTGGGTTGTGAGGCATCAGGTGTCTGAGCCCCTGTGGGTTGTGAGGCATCAGGTGTGTTGCCCTGGGGTGAGTGGGTGCTGAGGGTCCTGTGGTTTGGGGGTGGGGCCGCCGTCCTTGAGCCTTGGAGTAGACAGAGCCCTCCCCACACACGGTCCAGATGCTGGACAGAACAAGTAGAAATGAGGAAGGAAGGTGATGGGGTCACTGCCTTTTCCAACCAAGTGAGCATTTCCACCGTCAGGTCTGCACGAGGCCTGCTTCCTCCACGTGCCCCCACCTCTCTTCCAGGAGGAGGGGCAGGGACTGATTTTCTGCTGTGGACCCATAACGACCGTCCCTCACTCACCCTTGGGTCGCTGTGTGTTGACTGCTGAGACCTACGGGGTTTCCTGCGTCTCTGACTGCAGTTCTGTGCCAGCTGGGGCAGCGTGTTACCTGCGCCTGGGTCTCCTTCTTGATGTGAAGAGGCGGCCTTGTGGGTGGCCATCTGGGCTACGGTTTCAGTTACTTTGTCCCAGAGATGTTCCCCTCGGCCCCTGTGCACCTGCCGGCCCTGCGGGGCCCTGGCTCCAGCCTCTCTGGGCACAGACCCTGGTGTTGCTGTTGCAGGTGGGACTTCCACCAGTGGGCCCTCCACCAGCACTTCCTCCCAGCGCCCTGTGCTGTTGGGGGCTGTGATGGGGACCTGGAAACCGCCTGCTCCGTCCTCCTAGACGCGCTGATGGACTCCTGCCAAAGGTTAGGAACGCTGGTGCCAAAAAGTGTCTTACTTTTGATTTTGGTGGTTTTTAGTGCTCTCGGTCCAGTCTGTGTCATAGGAAGTGCAATCGAACATATCCTGATGGCAAGCCCTGCTGTGTGTGTGTGTTTGCCAGCAGCAGCGACTTTGCCATCTGTGTGCAGGGTCAGCAGACGTGAGGAGGAGGAAAGTGTAGCACGTGGTGGGCAGCAGGGCTGCCATCCAAGGTGCAGGATGCACCGGCCTGGACCACCTGCCTCCCCTGGCCGTGCAGGGCGTGGCTCCTCCATGGTCTGTTTTTGTATCACTCTCCTCACGGGTGCCGTGTTAAGGTGGTGAGGTTCCGAGCATGCGTTTTCCACGCTTTGGGTCACAGAGAAGGAGGCTACTGTTCCTCTAGGAAACACTGTCCAGGCAAGCAGACTCGACACAGGACAGAGGCCTTCCCCTTCCCCTCTGTTCTCCCAGGACCATGAACACACTGTCCAGTCCGCTCACTGCACTGCAGGGCGAACAGCGGCGCACCCTGTCCCTCCATCTTCCCTGGGCTCTCTGTGTCCCATGGGACTGTTTTCTGAAACCGCCCCTTTCAGTCATGTCAGCAGGATAGGAGGGCTCGTTTCTCCGCGTTGTCACCAACAGTGGTCCACCCTGGCGAGCGCACAGGCCATCTCATCACAGCTCTGGGTGCTGCTCCCTGACGTGCTTGTTGACCACTTGTGTGTCTAGTCAGATCCTGTGCCCATTTAACACTGGTTTTGCGTACTGAGTCTTAAGAGTTCTTTATATATTCTGGAGACCAGATCCTCATCAGGTAAGTGAGTGGCAAATATTTTCTACTATTTTGAGTAATTTTTTTCCATTTTATTTAATAGGTCATCTTTACCTTTTTTCAAGAATGTCTCACAGTTTGCAGCATATAAGTCTTGTATTTCCATGACTGAATTTATTCTTAAGATTTTTTGGCACCATTGTAAATGGGATCGTTGTTTTAATTTCATTTTTGGATTATGCGTTGCCACTGAATAGAAATACAACAGGTTTTGTACATTCATTTCACACCCTGCAACTTCACTGATCTCGTTTATTTGCTTTGATGGTCTTTTGTCTGTGGATTCTTTAGGACTGTCTGTACGTAAGGTCTTGTCTAAAGTGAATAGAGATGGTTTGGCTTTCTCTTTCCAGTCTGGGTGCCTTTTCTGTCTTTCTTTCCTCTTTCACCTGCACTGTCCTGGCTACAACTTTCAGTGTGGTGTCGAATGGAAGTGGTGAGAGGACACTTCGTTCTGTCCCTGATCTTCGGGGCAGTTTTCAGTCTTTCGTCACTAGGTGCATGTGCCCTGGGGTCTCTCATAGATGCCCTTCGTCAGCTGAGGAAGGTCCCTTTTACTCCTAGCTTGTTGAGTGTCTTTTGTCATGAAAGTCTGTTGAATTTAGTCTGATGCTTTACCCATGTGGTTTGTTTTTTATTCTGATACATGCCTTGCGTTGAGTGCCTTGTGGATGTTGAGCCAACCTTGCATTCTTGGGATAAACCCGTGTGGCTGTGGTGCACGACTGTCTGACGTGTTAGTGGAGCTGTCGTTGATACTGAGAGTGTCCCATAGTCCCCGCGGGCCCCCGGCCCTGTGACCACACACCACTCTGGAGGCAGGAGAGGCAGGAAGCCCACTGTGGTTAGGGCACTCAGGAGGCTCTCACTGTGTTCTCATTTCAGTTCAAGGAGCTACGACCACAGAGAGAACCCTGATTTGGCTCTTGGCAGCTGCACAGGAAATCGGGATGTTTTCTCCAGGTTGCAGGTGAGTCAGAAGCTACAAAACTCAGGGTGTCCACTGCATTTAAGCCACGTGCTATTAAGGTATATATCGTGAGCGTCCACAACGTCCTAAGGCACCTAAGCAGAATGAAAACCTGAGTCCCAGACACAGCAGCTCAGACCACAGTGACCATGTGCTCTGAACTCACATCACTGTGAACACAGCAGAAATACAGAAACAAAAGCTGTGATACGGGGAACATCTCCAGGCTTTGGACATTTGAAATAGAGGAAACTGTAATACCAGCTTTGGTAGTAACGTGGCCGCTCCTCCTGTTTTCTGCCTTTTAACGCTTGGCTGCTGCATGTGGAGGCCAGGAGACTCCTGCTCAAGGGTCACCTACTCAGGGCAGGAGCACTTGGAGGCTCACTGTGAAATGGAAAGTGTGTTTTTCAGGCAGCGTGCCTGCTCTCCTCAGGTCTCTTGAGGGCATTAAAGGCAGAACCTGAGTGAGCAGACCACGGCCCCTGACTGGGCGGGTGCACCTGGAGGCACACGTGTGGTTCTCTTCTGGTGGATTCTGTGCTTCTTGGCGGTGTTCCTGCTGTCACTCTCAAAAAGTGCCAGCACGTAGAAATGTGGGGAATGAAAGAGAACCCATGGCGGGTGTGGTTTGGAGCACTGGGGACATTTACTTACAAGTGAAGGAAACAGCCTACAAAAGAGGGGGTCGGGGCCCTGACCTCTCCTCGTGCCCCTTGTCCTCCAGGGAGGGTGGCACAGTGTGACTGTGGGGCTGCGATCAGACGCGGGTGCTCTGCGGCGGGGGTGTGTGCACATGGGCTTGTGCGCCCCGGGGAGAGCAGTGGTCTGTGGGGCGGGTCTCGGCAGGGGTGTTCTTTGAACTGCTCTTAAATGGCAAAATTTTGCAAAAATGAATTTTCAACGACTTCCGAGTAGAAAGACTTGTCATCCTCACTTGCCCGTTGGAGACCTCTTTCCCAGTCCCATTTCAGAATCCCTGCTGGGAACGAGAGTCAGCCCCCTCATTTGTCTCTGGAACCAGAGACGAGGCATGTGGACATCTCGGCCTTGCTCTCTTCCAGGAGATGGTTGGGGACCTGGAGCAGGTCCCGGCGGCGCCCCTCGGCCACTCCCCTTCTCGGGGGCACTTCCTCTTCACGGTTTTCCGCAGGCGGCTCCAGGCTCTGGCGGGTGGGGGGGCCGTGGCCACCTGCCTTCAGAGACAGCGGGAGCTGCTCACATGCAAACGGTAACAGCCGTGTCCCTGGTCTCTGCTTGGGGGGCCTCCCACATGCCACTCGTTTCTCCCTAAAGAAATCGCGTCCAGATACATACGTGCCCAAAGCTGTGCTTACAGTTAAGCTGTGAGAGGCGGTAACTTTCCAGGTCAGGGAGCTGTGTGTTAGACGGGGGTGCCCCCTGGCACCGGGTTGTTACTGCCAACTAACAGTTGGTTTTTGAGTTTATGCTGGGAGTTGGTTGACACGTTGTGAGCGTCTGTGGGCCTAGCAGGGCACAGGTGCTCCGCCCACAGCCCCAGGGGAGAGCTTTCAAGGAAGAGCCAGACTGCACCGTCACCACCACCTCCCTTCTCCCCAAGGATCCTTCTGGGCCTGCCCCCCTCCCTGCTCTTCAGCCACCCCCAGGAAGGACAGCCCGCCACCCCCAGCTGTGACGACTTCTTCCACTTCGTCAACTCCGAGCTGGTAGGTGTGGGAGAGGGAGCTTGGGGTGCGGGCAGGGCAGGCGTCTGGTCCCTGAGGGCTGGTTCTTGGAAGGTCACCAGTGTGTCCATGGTCGCATGGAGCCGATGGCCGCAGCGCATGCCATGCCCGTGGGGTCACTGAGGACAAGAAGTGTGACTCTGGGTCACATGAGAGTCCTTCACCCAGCTGGACACGGGCTGAAGAGGCATAGAGACCAGCGGCAGCTCCTCCCTGCAAGACTCAATTCCTTCACAGAACCTTCCCCACATTTCCCCACTTTGGCCCCATGGCTGTCGCAGACCACCCTGCCCACTTGGCTGTCCCCACTGGTTTCTGTCTCGGGTGCACAGGAGCCGGGTGGTGCCCCTCATGTTTCACACGTCGCTCAGTATCAGGAAGTGTCAGTATTATTGAAGGTGACATCCCTGTGACCTGTGTCCAGTCGGGGTCAGGAAGGACCCCCTGCACATCTCCAGAGAGTGGCATCTCCACCTGAAGGTGTTTCTTGCTTCTGAAAAATGCGCAGATATGACTGGAGGCTGAGCCAGCTCCGTCTGTCTGTGTTCGTGTAGCACTTTCAAGACAGCAGGGGAAGCAAAGGAAATGAGATTTCGTTTTCTTTAAGTTCTTTCCGAAGCTATTTCCCTTACAGCTGAGAATGGCCTGTGAAAGCGTCTGGCTGGGGGCAGGGGGGCAGCGGGGCGAGGACGGTGTGTTCCCTGCCTGCCTGAGTTCCCTGTGTTGGCACCGGAGCTGGCGGGCTGGGGGCTGGGGGGTGCAGAGGATGCTGGCCTGCTGTGGTCAGAGGCAGTGCTGTGGCTGGGCTGCCTGTTCCCAGCGTGTTTCCTTCCGGAGCATTGTGTCCAGCAGACACTGCCACTCCTGGTCCCACGGGCCCCTCTTCACTGGCCTCTGCTGTCTTACAGAGAAACTTATGCTTCCACGACGGTGCCCTGACCCACGACATCACCGTCCACTTCTTCCGGGTAACTCCCTTTCCCCCTGCATCACCGCGCTACTGCTGAAGCCTCTGGGCTGGACCCTGGTGTCCATGGTACAAACCACTGCATGTGGCTGCCTGTCCTCCCGCAGGGGCTCCTCAATGCCTGCTTACGGAGCAGTGACCCTGCACTGGCAGCCGACCTGACCCTGACCGCCTGCCAGACCAAGTGCCCCCTGGTTCTGACCTCTGCTCTGGTAGGCCTGGCCGTCTCCTTGGGGTGGTGTGGCCAGGCTCTGCGCCCCGCTAGGGCTCCTTGGCAGCGTCACCCCTGCCCCACTTGCAGTTCAGAAGCGTGTCTGGGGAGCCAGTCCCCGAGCGGTTTGGGTGTTTCACCTGGGCCATCGTCAGCCAGGTGGAACTCGCTGTGTGTGTAAAACACCAGCTCTCTCAGCAGGGACAGCAAGCACCAGGCCCAGCTCTGGGGCAGTGTGTGGCAGACTCTGTACACAGGCTACGCCCTTAGCCAAGGCCTCCTCTCTCCAGAGGAGGCCGAGGACGCCCTGTGGCGCTGCTTTAGCCTTCATGAGGTGCTGGGGGCGGGGTCGGCCAGCGGGGCGGACCTCTCCAGCCAGATCTTCAGCGGTCACTCGAGGTTCCAGATCTCGATGGGGGAACTGACCTGTTGGTGCCCTTTCTCTCCTGTGAGCTGTGGTGGCCACACCTGGAGCCCGAGCTTCATTGCCGGTGGAGGAAGTGGTCCCGGGGCCCGCTGCCCCCAGAGCTGCAGAGGCTGCAGGAGGCCCAGCAGTTTGCCAGGAGGTAAATGTGGGCATCGGCCCCCAAGCTGCTCATTGTACATCTCCACCTGGAGCGGGGCCGCGTGAAGGGGAAGCAGAGCCCAGTGGACAGGCCATCTCCTATGTCCAGACTGGGCCCTGAGAGGGCAAAGAGGCCTGCCCACCAGAGGGTCACGGGGGGTGGGGACGCACAGGAGTGGGTGTGGCCAGTGTCCTGACTGGCGGAGGGACCTGGGATTGTTGCTGGGAGGTGGTCAGAGGCCCCATAGTGACACTCACATCTCTGCCCAGCCTCCTCTCCCTGGACACGGACATGGCGTCCCCCGCACCTGGCCCCGCCTGGGTCTCTGCGGCGGCTCTGCACTTGGCAGTTCGGCGGGCCAGGAAGGAAGACACCATGAGGGTGCTGAGCAAGCTGGACAGCCAGAGGGAGGAGGTGAGCAGTGAAACCCTTCCCCAGACTTCTTTTCTCTGTGTTCTAATCATGTCATCTCTCAGGGTTCGGCTCGCTGTGCTTTTCAGGACGTCTGGTTTGGAGTGTGTGTAACTGTCTGGAGGAACAACTCACTGGGTTTCTGGGTTCAGCAGGACTCTGACTCTGGGGTTTGCTGGGGATAAGCTTCCACTTATCTGCACCACAGCCCAGCACAGCGCGGTCAGCTGCCCATGGGACCTGGGGCCTCTCTAGCTGGACACACATGCAGCCGTCAGCTGCTCGTGGAGACAGGGTGGGCAGAGGGAAGGCTGCTCCGAATGGCAGGCTGGCCGTCCAGCCCTAAGGCCGTGGGGCACCCCCACCACGTCTGCAGGGCAGGGAGGCACCTGCGTCCTCCTGGGGAACAGTCACCCTCCTCCCCCGCTAAGCCCCGGCCCCAATCGGCTCAGGATGGACATGCCTGTGTGACAAGCTGCCTAGCTGCTGAGACGTGGGCTTGGTGTCAGTTTCACATAAAGTCACAGGGAAGGTTCTGTGTGTTTTCAGGCTACTTTTGTTGGGAGAATTTCTATATTCCCTATTTAGAACTGATTTAGAGGAACACAGTGTAAGGAATTTTCACGTTGTAAGTGTACCTGTTTTTATTTGCAGCTGTTGGTTTTCCTGTTTTTTTTTTCCTTGATGGGCCTGCTCTCAGCACACCTGAGCCCGCAGGTGAGTCAGACACCTCCACTGCAGGTGGGAGCAGCTGGCACCACCGCCCACGGCACTTGAAACCATGGGTCCCCAGTTCTCCCCAGACGCCTGAGCTAGAGTCTCTGAGGGGGACCCTGGGACCTTTGTGTCAAAGGCTTTCTCAGGAGAGAGAATCCCCAGGCCGTGTGCCTTTTGGCATCGTATTTCAGGACCTGGGCCCCGAGGGTCCATCCAGAAGCCCCCAGTGGACACCTCTTTCTTGCCCACTGGCCACCTTGGGGTCACTCTCTCTCCTGTGGGTCACAGGCTGCTGACTCCCTGAGGGCTCTGGACACCTGCGCTGAGATCCTGGGGTGTCTGCAGAGGAGGAGGATCTCCTGGCTGAGGCTCTTCCAGTTGACAGAGGCAGGTGAGAACCCACGGAGCCTGTCCTCTGCTGGGGATGCAGGTGACCTGGGGGTCAGACTGCTTAGTCCTTCTCTGCAAAAGCAACTTTTAGCTGGTTAAACATGAGCCCCTCCTTAAGGCCCACTTTTAAAAAAATCACTTCTGCAAGTTTATCTTCTTGCTACGTATATAAACTCGTTTAAATAACAAAATAATTCACTGGGGCATTGAGCCCCATGCCAGCGGCCCCCAGGCTCTACTCTGCCGCATGAGGACATCACTTGTCCTGAGACGCTGACCCTGCGGGGCAGGCATCTGGTCCACACTGCTGACACCCTCCCCGTGTTGCAGATGCGGGCCTGGGACGCACTCTCCTCCTCTTGGCCCCCGACCAGCACATCAGGCTGCTGCCGGCCGCCTTCTACAGGTAACTGAGTGCACCCCACTGGGCGCTCTCAGGAAGGGTGCTCACCCCTTCCCCGAGACTCCATCTCGGTGCCTCCGTGAGTCTCCCTCAAGAGGGGCAAGGCCGCACCTCTGCTGTCAGTGGCCTCTGAAATCTGGGCATCACGTGATGTCTTTTGTCTCCACATTCAGTCTCCTCTCCTACTTTGAGGAAGACTCCCTTCTCAAGGAAGAAGCCTTCCTGCACGTTGCTGTCGACATGTATCTGAAGCTGACCTGCCTTTTCGTGGCTGGGGAGACGCGTGTGGTCTCGACTCCGGCCCACAGCCTGGAGCTCCAGGGCCAGGCAGGTGCAGGGCCAGGCCCGTCTGCAGGGGCAGTGGCCTCCACACCCTCCCAGCACAGCACCCTGACCTGGCTCTGCCTGTCCTCTTTCTAGGGCGACCCCGTGAGCCTGCTAACAAAAGCTCGTCTTTTCCTGCTGCAGTCGATACCACGGTGTCCAAAAAGGAGCTTCGCACACGTGGCAGAGGTAACACGCAGAGGCTCACCTTGGTGCCTGTCTCAAAGTCCACATCGTGTTCAAAGTGAGGGTGCTGAGGGGCCAACCCCTTAGGTGGGAGAAGTCACAGCTTCCAACACTGGGCATCGTGGCTGCCAGCTCCCTGTGCCCTTGGCGCGGGGAGCCTGGGGCAGCACTGGGCTCAGCACACATGCTTCCTTGCAGCTGCTAGCCGCTGGTGCAGACTGTGACCCAGAAGTGAGTGCCGCCCTCCTGAGCAGGCAGCAGGCTGTGCTCGACCTTGACCTCGACCAAGAAGCCTGTCTCTCCTGATGCAACCTGCCCAGGGCACAGCCCTGCTCCTCTGTAAATAATTTATTATACACGTAACATGGAGTTGTTGTTGCACCGAAAAGTGGGTTACAAATCTTGATTGCTTTAGTTGGAAAGAGAACTCGATGATTTAAAATCTGCATCTGGCACCAAGTCACTCAGGGGTTACAGAAAAACAAACTGCTGGTCTCTGAGCAGCGGCCAGAAAGGCAACAGGAGCCGCACACGGAGCCCCCACCCTCCCACACTCGGGGTGGAGGTCTTGGTTGATTGAGCAGAGCTGTGCCTTCAGATCTGATGTGAGGCATGAGGGTTAGGATTTACCACCGGCTGCGCTCCAGGGCTGGCGTGCCCTCATGTGGGTTCAGCCTTCACAGTCTGACCCCCCACCGGCCCAGGCAGGGGCTCCAGGGGCGGGGCCTTGTCCTGGGCCTGTGTCAGAGGGTGGACCATGGACATGTGCACATTGAGGTTGTGGGCCTTCTCAAACCGCCGGCCACACTGGTCACAGGCAAAGTCCAGCTCAGTCTCAGCCTTGTGTTTGGTCATGTGGTACTTGAGGGACGCCCGCTGCCGGCACTGGAACCCACAGACTTCACACCTGGGGGACAGTGGTGGATGAGTCAGGGAGTGGGTACTGCGGCCAGGGAGAGGGCCCCCCACACTTACTGCAGAGGCTTGGCTCCCGAGTGGCGCATCTGGTGGACCAGGAGGTGCTTCCGCTGCTTGAAGGTCTGTCCACACTCGTCACAGATGTAGTTTCGCACCTCTGCAAACGAAGACGAAGTGACTGCGGGCACCGAGCACCCTTCCCAAGCTCCACTGTGAGCGCTAGGTCCATTCAGTGCCCCAAAGACTCACAGGTGAGACAGTTCCAACCTGCTTGAAAACGTCACCTGCCTGGGGCCGCCTCCACTGTGCACACCTCCTCTGGAGCCTGTTTTCATAAGCTTAGGAGGCCTAGTGCCTTGAGCATGAGTTCTGGAGGAAGTGATCAGAGTTACTGCTATTCTGAAGTCACCCCCACGTTGGGCCCCACCCCATAGGGGCACAGACTTTGGAAATCAATCTCTTACATTCTTCAACAGGAACTGAACTGTCACCCCCTCCCATTGACCCGTCCTAGATGTGCACCTGGGGCAGCAGCCACACGTTCCTCCCCCAGTGTCACCTCTCCGGAAGAGCCGCACAGGCACGCTTCTCCCTTCCTACGCACGGCCATCCTGGCTTACAGTCTACCCTCCATGTTCATAAAACTGCCTGTAGTCACGACCACGGTGGCTGGACTGAGACACAGCAACCTGACTCAACCCAAGGGGATCACTGTGTCAGGAGCACTGCCTTCTGGGCAGGAGCAGCCCGTGTGAGTCAGGCACATGAGCCCAGGGCTACAGGCACACGTGCAGAGCCAGAGGCGTAACCCTCACATGCTGCTCCTGGTAACAGGCGAGGGCACCATTCCATGTGCTCTTTCCTTTCCCAGTCTCTACAGTGGGCGTGGTTACCTTTATAATCCAAAAAGCATAGACTGTCATCTTCTGAAAGTAACAATTAAGAAAACTGCCACGATAAACTCACAGGAAGGCACCGAGGGTTCTCTGCTGCCTGCAACGCATGACCCCGGCAGCCCGTCCTGGGAGGGGGGTGGGCACACCTGTGTGTATGAGCTTCACGTGGCGCTGCAGGTAGCGGTCGATCATGAACACCTTGTTGCAGCCAGGGTGCGGGCAGGGCCTCTCGCGGACCTCCTCATGGTGCTCCTTGATGTGCTTCTGCGGGAAAGACAGGGGACCCTGCACACCTTGACCTGCACTGTGGGCTCCTCCCCTGGCCACCTCATGTGGCCCCTGCCCCACAGCCCCTCCTCATGGCCCCTCACCTTCATGCCGTCGGCCCCGCGGTACACAGCCGTGCAGCCCTGGTGTGGGCACTTGTAGATGGTGGGCAGCTCCTCCCTGCAACACGGAGCACGCATGACGCCACAGCCCTGACGCACCGCGTGGCCCCAGACCCAGCCCCTCACCTCTCACAGCGGGCTTTGCTCTTCCAGCCTGGCTTGGGCCCAGGCTTCTTTCGAAGTTTCGGTTCTTCTGACTTCCTGGCTTCCTTGCTTTCACTCTTCCTTCCGGAGACCCTGGAGGAGAGACCATCAGAGTCAGTGATGGCTCAGACCTCTGTCTGCATATATATCTCTCCTCTTCCTTCAGATATGAGGGGTGGGTTTCTCAGGCCTCCAGGGCTCGGCCGCTTCAGTCCCTGTGCCGACTGGCCAGCCCTCAGAGTGACCTCGGCCACCAAAGCCTGAACAATTCTCCAGGGAGGCGGGGGCCCTGCACTGCCACTGCAGGAGAGCTGGGCACAGGGACGCGGACCATCCTGGACCCAGGAATGGGTTTTCAGGACCAGTTCACTGGTTCTAAACAAAAGAACCACTCCAGAGGGAGCACGGGGAATGGTGGAGCGGGGTTACTTAGGGGTCAGTCCCTCCACCAAAACCACCAACTGTTACGCTAGATAAAAAGATCAGAGTCAGCTCCTCTGGAACCTGACTCAGCAACCAGACGAGCTGGAGGGAGAAGTGCTGGCTGCCGACCCCACTTGACCTTGGAACAGAAGGGAACATCTAAGGCCATATATGACGAGTCCATGCTGATCTCATCCTCAGTGGTGAGAGACTGAAAGCTTTTGCTCTGAGATCAGGCACAAGACAAAGATGCCTGTTTTCACCAATTCTATTCAACAAAAGACTAGAAAGCCCTAGCCAGAGCAGTGAGGCAAAAAATAAAAAATAAAATAAAAAACATCTCAATTAGAAAGGAAAGAAAATCACCTCTATTCACAGATGTCATGATCTTTTATGTAGAAAACCCTAAAGAACCCACACAGAAAAATAAATCCAGCAAAGTTGCAGGGTACAAAACCCACACACAAAACCACTTCTGCATCTATACACTAACAATGAACAATCCATAAAAGAAATTAAGAACAGTTCATTTTCAATACCATCAAAAAGAGTAAAATACTTTGGAATAAACTTAACCAAGAAAGGTAAATACTTGTACACTGGAAACTACAAAACACTGCCGAAAGAAAGACTTCAATAGTAGACACCCCATGTTCACAGAAGGCTTAGAATTGTTAAGATGGCAGCATTCCCCCAAGCAATCTACACGTTCAGTCCCTGTGAAACTCCTAATGGTGGTTTTCAGAAAAATGAGAAAGATCCTAAATCCCACACAGAATTTCAAGGGACACTGAACAGCCACAATTCTGAAAGACAACAAAGCTAGAAGATTCACACTTCCTGATTCCAAAATTTGCTACAAAGCAACAGCAGTCAGAACAGTGTGGTCCTGACATAAAGAGAGACAGACCAACTGAGAGAGCCCCCCAAAAAACTCTCACAAGCACAACTGGCTGGCTTTCAACACGGTTCCAAGACCATTCAATGGGAAAAGGACAGTCTCTTCAACAAAAGGTGCTGGGACAAGTGGCTCCCCAGAGACAAAAGACTGGACTTGGATCCCTACTTCACACCATATAAAGAGTTAACTCAAACAGATTGAAGATCTAAATCTAAGAGCTAAAACTCTTAGGGGTAAATCTTCACAACCTTGGAGTAGTTCTCTTAAATATGACACCAAAAGCAGGGCAACAAAAGGAAAAACAGGTAAATTGGACTTCAAAATTAAACATTTTTTGTGCACGAAAGAACAGTGTCAAGAGACTAACAAACAAAAGATACCCTACAATTCCACAGCAAAAGACAACCCAGCTAAAAATGGGCTTAAACAGACATTTCTTCAAAGAAGGTACAAGCACACGAAGAGACGCTCAGCATCACTAACCACTAGGGAAATGGACGAGGGAAGACACCACCTCACACCTGTTAGGATGACTGTTAAAAAGAAAAAGTAAGTGTTGGTGAAGATGTGGAGAAACAGGAACCTTTGTGTGCCGTTGGTGGGAATGCAAGATGGTGCAGCTGCTGCAGAAAATGGTTCCTCAGAAAGTTAACAGAGTTAACACATGACCCAAAGAACTGAAAACAGTCTCAGATACCTGTCACATCAGCCTTCAGCGCACTGTTCACAACAGCCAAAAAGTGTAAACCATCCAAAACGACAAATCGATCAACACAACGTGGTCCATCCACACAGCAGATTATTGTTCAGCCAGAGAGGAACCAGATTCTCAGCCGGGTAACACCACGGGTGGACCTCAGAGACACGCTCAGCACAAGAGCCAGAAGCAGAACACACACTGTGCACTCCCACCGGCACGGGCCCTGGAAGGGGCACCTAGACCAGGAGTTGCCAGGGCCTGTAGGGAAGGGAGCAGTCACTGCTTCCCCGGGACAGCTTCTGTCTGGGACGAGGAAACATCTGGAAATAGTGGTGAGGGTTGCACAACATTGTGAAAAGACTTCAATGCCACTGAGTTGTACACTTGAAGATGGCAAATTTTGTCATACCTATTTTACCGTAACAGATTATAAAATCGTCCTTGAGCTGCACATTAACAAACCCTTCTCTGGGGACTGGCTAGGCCCATCCTCCTTGTCCAATAACTGTTCTTTGTGACCTGGACACAGCCCCACCTTGCCAGCCTCCACCCCTTCTGTGTGGCTTGAGCATCCGGCAGCCAGACCATGGCCAGTGATCACACTAGACCACACGTTCCTTGAGAGCAGGAGGCCTCAGAGAGCACACAGGCCTCCCGTGAGTCCTTGAAGTGTATGGGGCCGGGGTCCCTGCAGACACAGAGGCCTCCCCGCTGCTAGCTTCCCTTCCCTGCCCCTCCCTCCCTGCTGTTCCCCAGGCTCCCAGCCCTCACTTCCTCAAGCCATAGCACCCCGGTCAGCATGGCCAGGTCTCCTGTCTGCCTGACTGGAGCACATCTGTAGAACAGGGGCCCACCCCACACCACAGCACCTGAGGAAGCCAGTGGTGGTCAGGACCAGGCCCAGAGCTTCGCACGCCCACCTTGCCCAGTCCCACCTCCCCCAGGGCCAGCCTCCACTGAGAATCCATGTTACCGCAGGTCTCTAAGATCACACCTCGTGTCCCCCGCCTACAGCGTGGACCTATGTGCACACTCGGGGTCGGTCCTTGTGGAAACCCAGGGAGTGAAGATGCCTGAGTGCTGGCCCCAGCTCAGAGCAGAACCTCCCCTCCTGATCCCGTCTGCCCCACCCAACACCAGGACATAAGGCTGGATTCTGGAGTCCACTAAGCAGGGAGCAGGCCCTCCTGGAGGCAGGCCTAGTCTCCCTAGCCTGTGGCCGAGGCTCTGGGACAGGGCCCGCCTGACTCTCTCTCGGCCTAGGCCAGTGCTTCTGACTCAGCCCTGTGCCCTGACGGTCACCTCCCTGAGCCTCCTGTCCTATCTCTCCACCCACAAACCATGTCAGGATTTCAAGGAAAACAGGAAGGGGAGCTTGCTGCCCAGTTTTGTTTTGTGCTTTCTGGGTGACATTGAGGTGCTCCTGTCTCATTCTATGTAAAATGCCACCGTGGACCTTGACAAACTGAGGTGTTTGGGGTGTTCATGGGCACAGAGTTGGAAGAAAGTGACATGAAAATCAGCCTTCTCTGTCAGGACCCCGCCTTCTCCCAGAGACAGCACCACCCAGAGGGAGGAAGGGTGACCCCAAGTGGAGGCAGGGCAGGAACCAGCCCGGGCGGAGCTGGGAGCGGCCGCAGGACCTCGGCACCGCTGGCCACGCCTCCAGCTGTGACCCCAGGCCACTCCAAGGTTGCGCAGTGGCCACACTGCACAGGGCTTAGAAGATCAGGCCACAACAGAAGCAAAACCATGAGTGTGCCGAGCAAGACAGACTCCATCCGGTCCCACTGCCCCTCATGTCACCCGCTGGACACCATCCCCACCCCGTGGGCTGGCCCCTTACTTTTCTGGGTAAGGCTCAAAGGACTCGTCCGAGGACTGGGCGTTCTGCTTCTTGCCATGTTCGTCCTCACTTGGGAAGTCTCTGGGGAAGAAGAGGGAGCCTTCAGCAGAGCCCTGGGGTAGGTGACAGATCCAGTGGCACTTCCTGTCTAAAGATACCACGTGGATCCCCACAGTCCACGTTTTAGTTCCCCTGAAAAGGTCTTAAAAATCCCCAAGTCTCCAAACCCCTCGCCCTAATGCAGGGGAAGCCACGGTCGCATGCAGACGGCCCCGTGAGCCACGTTTCTCATCACATCCGGACTTGGAAAGGGCCTCTGTATGGGGACCAAGGCAGGGCATGAAGACCCTCACAGAACTGGGCTTCTCAGGAAGGGATATGCAGAATGTCACCTCCCCCCCTCCCCCAACCGACACACTTGCCCCGCTGACAGGTCAGCAGGCAGCAAGACCAGAAAGAGATACGCCTCTAACCTTCCCAAAACAGGACTCACTGCACAGCGGCAGACAGAGCCTGGCTGGCATGCCACAGCCTCCCCACAGCGGACAAAGGCCCAAGGCTGGCAGGGCCTGAGGGGCAGCCCACAGCCACTCCTGATGCCGGGGCGTGTCCAGCACCTTAGTCATCCGTCATCGGCACCAAAAATCATGGTGTCTTTCTGCATGTTGGAAGAAGGTGCCTCTACAGTTCACCCAAAGCTTATGGCAGTGGGCGGGGGGGGGGGGGGCAGCCGCCGCCTCTACCCTGAGGGCTTCTCGTGTCAGAAGTGGGGAGGGGTTAGTGGCCCCTGGCGCAAACAGATGCCCCTTCCTGGAAAGGCTGTCCTCCTGAACGGGTCTCCAGCCCAAGTCACAATCACATTATGATAAAGGAACAGAGACTGGCTTCTGTTTTAGTCACATCTGGGGTTGGCACAAAACTCAGGCCTTGGAGACAGGCCAGAATCAGCAAAGGCCTGGCCAGAGGACCATCTTCACAGAGTAACTTCCACACCACCCAGCTGTGCCTCCTGGTAGCTCCACTGGGTCTGAGGTGCCCCTGGGACCCAGGAGCCCCTGCTCAGGAGTGCAAGGCACCGGCCACGCCTGTCCTCCCAACAGAGAGAGAGAGAGGCCAGCAGGACACCAGCAGCCAGCCCCGAGGACAGCAGAGCTGGGTTTCCAGGGAGAGGTTTTAGGCTACGTAAACCCACTCTTCTCTCACCCCTCAGAAAGGTCACTGAACTCGTCTTTTACCCGATCATCCGAAGTTGGAGTCGGAACCTGCTTCTCACCCAACTGTCCTGAGAAACAAAGAACAAGACCCCAGTCACCCGTCACCCACAGACAGAGAGGCAGTGCTCCCCTCAGGGAGCTGAGTGTATGTCTGACGACAGGGCCTGCGGTCCTCCACCCCCAGCCCTTCCCCAAGGTCCCTGTGTAGCCGGGCACCGGCCCCGAGTCAGCAAGGCAGCGCCAAGAAGCCCCACAGCAGCACAAGCCCCACCCCTCCCCAGAGGCTGAATCCAGTCACCTGGGGACAGGAAGACTCATACTTTGTGGATGTCTGAGGACATTAAAAAGTCACTGATAACGAAGCTGCATGCATACGGTTTAAGAAGCCAAGCAGCTCTAAGGCACTGCAACACGAGCCCCCTCACCCTCCAGCATCTGCTCTCTGAACAGCCCGAGGACTTGCCCACGGGAGTGGCCCAGCACCCCATACACAGACAGGGGCACATGTGGAGCTGGGAGAAGCAAGCAGGAAGCCAGTCGGGCCCTCCCAGCACAACATCCATCAACAACTGCACCAACACGCAGGGCTGCAGCCCCAGGCCCCAAACGAGGGCCCTGTGCTCCCCCTCGGTCAGTCAGCAGAGGAGCCTGTCCACACTGGTCTCACTGGGCATCACCAGGCTGCTGGCAGAGGCCCAGAGAATGACCTGCAGCTAGCTCAATACACCAGCTGTCTCCATCTTCCACGAGGCCCCATCTTCTCCCGCCCCTGCCCGTGGCCCCAAGCAGGCTCAGAGGAAGACTGGACACAGATGAGAGTACCCTCCTAGCAGTGCTGGAGCAGGGACCTCGCCCTCCCTGCTGCTAGGCCCACGAGGAGGCACCAAGGCTGGTTCCTGGTCGCTCCCCATGCCTGGCCCCTCTGCACACGAAACCATGGCCAGTGCCACAATGGTGCAGACATCCACTTGCTGCTGAGGGCCTGCCTAACTCAGGACTAGGAATCCTGGTCTGACAGCCCAGAAGAGCCTCTTACCTGGGGCCCCACTTGCGGGGAGGATTGGCTGAGGCGGGGGACCTGGCCCAGGCCCCACGGGGTCGCCATCTGCAGGCGAGGGAGCTGTGTCTGTGCTGGGCAGCATCCCGGTCTCAGCCACAGTCGCTCTGTCCTGGGAGCTCTGAGGGGCAGCCCCAGGGGGGCTGGAGCCACGATGCTGGGTGAGCCGAAGGGCCGTCTCCTTGTCCCACATCCACTTGACTCCCAAAGCACTGTCCAGCAAGAGGGCCCCGCAGCTGGAGTCCGCATCCATGGTGTAGGCATGGCCCTGGTCGCAGCCCCAGATGGCCTGGATGATGCCACAGTACTCAGAGGACAGGGTCCTCTGGAGACCAGGCAGGGCCCCACAGCTGGCTGCATGTCCGTGCACCCACTCCACCAAGCCACGCAGGCCCTGGGGGCTCGAAGTGATCAGGTCCACTGAGGAAAGGCACAGAGATGCCAGCCCCAGGCTGGTTAGGACCCAGCCTGCCCTGGGCCCACCCCAACCCCGCGCTCGGGGCACACTCACCCACACACGCTCCCTCCTCCTCCCCTGGCAGGGGCTGGACACCGACCCTGCAAAGGATCATCGTGGCTCATGTGAGTGGGGCTGGCAGTGAGTAGGATCCAGCGTGCCCCTCCCCAGGTGGCTGCTAATATGCAGCCAAGGCTTCTTGTCCAAGGGCAGCCCCGAGGCCCTCACCTCCCCCACACCCTCCCCATCTCTGACAGCTCTCCCTGAGAACAAGGGAGGGACGCCTACTTTGCGCAAGGCTTCCGGTGGCCTGTCGGGGAGACGTTGACTCTCTGCAGGAAGGACGTGAGAAGGCCATGGCACTGGTAGAACTGGGCATGGCAGCTCTTGCAGACAAACTGAGACAGAGCTGGGTCCTGGTGGACGGCTACCCCCAGGAGGCGCTGGAAGTCCCTGATGAAAACATGCTCCCCTGGGGGCAGCCTCTCTGAGCTCCCTCCAGAAGCTTTGCCAGAGATGTTGCGGAGACTCCGTGAGGAGAACTTCCCGTGGCACAGGCGACAGTGCCCCATGGCCAGGGTCCGGCCTGTTCCTGGGCAAGCACAAGAAACAGCACAGCACGGTGAGGCTGCCGCTGCACAGACGCTCCTGGCTGGGGAAGAACCCTCGCTGGGGCCTCCCCAGACCTGTCCCTCAAACACAGGCCCACATCTGGGCCAAACACAGGGCTCTGGCTCTGAGCACCTGGCTGAATATACAGCCTTTGAGGAGATATGGCTAGCAGAGGGCATTCTGGTCTAGAAAACCTTTCAAAGGATTCTAAATGCCTCCACGGTAAGGCCAGTATCATTCTGATATCAAAATCAGACGAGGCACCACAAAATAAGAAAAGTTACAGGCCAATATTCCTATGATCATAGATGTAAAAATCTTCAACAAATTATTAGCAAACTAAATTCAACAATACATTTAAAAGGTCACACACAGTGGTCAGTTGGGATTTATTCCAGGGATGCAAGGATGGTCAACATCCCAAATCACTTGCTGTGCTGCACCACACTAACAAAATAAAAGATAAAAAGTCAACATCCATTCATGATAAAAACCTCAACAAAGTGGGCACAGAGGGGGTGCACCTCAACATGACATACATGAGAAGCCCAGGGCAAACATCACACTCAGCAGTCAAGAGCTGAGAGCTTTCCTCTGCGATCAGGAACAAGACAAGGATGCCCCCTCCCGCCATGTTCATGCAACACAATATTGGAAGTTCCAGCCAGAGCAATAAGGCAAGAAAAATATGTAAGTAATCCAAATCATAAAGTAGTGAAATTGTCTCTATTTGCAGATGAAATACGATATATAGAAAACTCTAAAAACTCCACCAAAAAACTGTTAGAACTAGTGAACAAATTCATTAAAGTTGTAGGATACAAAATGAATACACAAACATCAGTTAATTTCTATATACTAATAAACTATCAGAAAATTTAAAAACAATTCCATTTACAATTGCATCAAAAAGAATAAAATACCTAGAAATAAATTTAACCAAGGAGATAAAAAGCCTGTACTATAAGACACTGATAAAAGAAACTAAAGACACAAATAAGTAGAAAGATAATTCCATACAGATGGAATGGAAAAATTAATATTATTAAAATCTCTGTACTCCCCAACACATCTACAAATTCAATGCAATCCCTATCAAAATCCCAGTGGTATTTTTCACAGAAATAGAACAATCTTAAAATTTTTATGGAACCAGGGGAGGGTATAGCTCAAGTGGTAGTGCACATGCTTAGCAGGCACAAGGTCCTGGGTTCTGTCCCCAGTATCTCCTCTAAATAAATAAGTAAACAAGTAAACAAACAAACCTAATTACACCCCCCCCACAAAAGAAAATTTAAAGAAAATTTATATGGACACAAAAAAACACTCTGAATAGCCAAAGCAATCCTGAGAAAGAACAAAGCTGGAAGCATCACACTCCTTGATTTCAAACTATACTACAAAACTATAGTAATTAAAACAGTATATGACTGACATAAAAATAGACTCACAGATCAATGGAACAGAATAAAAAGCCCAGAAATAAATTCATGCATATACAGTCAATTAATTTGCAACAAGGGAACCAAGAACATACAATGGGGAAAGGAGACTCTCTTTAATAAATGGTGTTGGGAAAACTGGACAGTTATATGCAGGGGGAAAAAAGAAAACGAAACTGGACCATTATGTTACACCACACTCAAAATCAAAGTGGATTAAAGAATTAAGGAACCTGAAACTATAAAACTCCTGGAAGAAAACATGGTGGTAAGCTCCTTGACAATGGTCTAGGAGATGATTTTTTAAACTGACACCAAAAGCAAAGGCAACAAAAGCAAAAATAAACAAATGAGACCACATTAAACTAAAAAACTTCCGCAGGGCAAAGGAAACTGTCAACAAAATGAAAAGGCCATCTACTGAATTGGAGAAAATGTTTCCCCATCTTACATCTGATGAAGGATCACTATCCAAAACATGTCAGGAACTCATACAACCCCAACAAAACACAAGCAAAACCACAAATATCTGGTTTAAAAAATGAGCAGAGGACCTGAATAGACACTTTCCCAAAGAGAACACGTAGATAACCATCAGGCACCTGAAAAAGTGCTCAGTGTCACCAATCATCAGGGAAGTGCCACAAGGAGGTATCACTTCACACCTGTCAGAATGGCTGTCATCAGAAAGACAAGTAATGATAGCGCTGGCAAGAGTGTGGAGAAAAGGGGGCCCTTGGGCACTGCTGGTGGGAATGTAAACTGGTGCAGCCACCATGCAAAACAGTACTGAAAATCCTCAAAAAAATAAAAATAGAACTATCATATGGTCCAGCAATTCCACTGCTGGGTATTTATCCTAAAGAAATGAAAACACTAACCGGAAAATGTATACACACCCCTACATTCGCTGCAGCATTATTTACAACAGCCAAGGTATGGAAACAAAGTGTCCATCAATGGATGATTGGATAAAAAAACTGGGGTACACATACACAATGGAATACTACTCGGCCATAAAAATGAGAAAATTCTAAATTCTGCCATTTCCAAAAACACAGGTGGACCTTAATGACACTATACTAAGTGAAATAAGTCAGACGGAAGATAAATGCCATATGATCTTACTAATATTTGGAATCTAAAAAAAAAAAACCCTGACCTAACATATGGAGAACAGACTGGTGGTTGCCAGATTGGGGCGGGTGGTGAGTGAAATGCGTGAAGGGGTCAAAGGGAGGAACTGCCAGTTATAAAACGAGTCCTGGTGATGTGTTCAGTCAGGTAGCTACAGTTACTGCGGCACAGTACTGTACCGTGCGTTTGAAAACTGCTGAGAGCTTTAGAGCCTAAAGAAACAGCCTGTAACTACATGTGGTGGTGGCTGCTAACAAGCCTCACAGATCACTTCACAACATACACACATGCAGAGTCAGTAACAAAGTAAACCTGAAACCAATACAGTGCTACTTGTCAATCATGCCTCCCCAGCTGCGAAACTTGATGGAGGAGGCTGGAAACTCCATCCCTTCCTGCACCACCCTCCTGAAACAAACGCCAAGGAGCCGGACCGGCTCTTGCAAGGCGGAGGATGCCGCCTCCGTCTCGGCCTGCGGCACCGGCCGAGCGGGCGAAGCATCAGGCGGAAACCGTGGCCCAACGCACAACCCTGACAGGCCGGCACGGCCTCTCGAGGGAACCCACTGAGTCAAGGAACAGGCAGCTGAGGCCCGGAGAGATGAAGCCATTACCTCAAGGCTACAGAGCGCAGGACGAAAACGCGCCTGGAACCCAAGCCCCCGCCGCTCAGCCTGAGCGCCAATTCCTCAACGAGATCGGAGAAGGCGCGAAGGGTCAGCTATCTTGCGAAACAGCCCCCGCACTGCCCCCCTCCCAGCGGGAAGGCCTGCCCGCTGCTTGAGGCGCGCAGCCGCCCGGGGGCTCGGGGTTGGGGGGACGGT